CTCAACGACCCCCCTAAAACCCTAAAACACTAAACTCAAGGACCCCCCTAAAACCCTAAAACCCAAAACTCAACGACCCCCCCAAAACCCTACAACCCCTGAACTCAACGATCCCCTTAAATCCTAAAACCCTAAACTCAGCGGCCCCCCGAACCCTAAAACCCTAAACTGAACAACCCCCCTAAAACCTAAAACCCCTGAACTCAGCGACACCCTTAACCCTAAAACCCTAATCTCAACCGCCCCCTAAAGCCTAAAACCCTAAACCCAACGGCCCCATTAAAACCCTACAACCCAAAACTCAACGGCCCCATTAAAACCCTACGTCTAGAACTCTCCATGTGGAGGAGCCCACGAGGGACGGAATGGAGAGGACCAGCCTTCGCAAACTCAATCGGTCTTCGCCGTCTCCCCGAAGCTGGGACCCTAAACCCTCTTAACTAGGGTTCCTTAAAGGGCTCCTTTAAAGGGGATCTATAAGGGTTCTAGTAAAAGAGTGGATTTATAGGGTCTACTTAAAGGCTCATGGGACTTAGTAAGTAAGGTTATGAGTAGGGTAACTATACTTGTAACCCCAGTTGAGCTACTTAAAACCTTACTTACTAAGTCCCATGATCCTCCAAGTAGGGCCCGATAACACGCACAAGTCATACACTTGCGAAAAACCTGGACCCCAACAGCAGGAAGAATAATGGCCTTTATGAGTTATGAGCCATTACTTTACCTACTTTTGGGGGGCCTAGATAGTAGTAGTTCCTTTTTGCGATTACCATATAGGATTCTAAATATGAACTACGAAAAGGAACGACTATGGAGCCTCCAGGTCCTCTCGGTACCCCTGAATACAGAAACGCCACAGCCCGAAAAGCTGAATCTCAGGAGACTCCAAGAAGAAACGCACCAGCCATAAACCCAGACCCCCGGGAGGATCTAGAAAGTTAGGTTTAGGGTTTAGGGGTTGAGGGGTTTAGGGGTTTAGGGTTTAGGGGTTTAGGGTTTAGGATCTAGAAAGTAGATCCCCCAATCTGTGGCCCTCTACTACTAAGGGTACTTTCTTGGATCCTCCCGGGGGTCCGGGAAGTTCTACTGGGAATCAATGCAGAGCATAGAGCCAGTCCGATGGGTTCCATGGTGAGCTAGGACATAAACACAGCAATCTTGCATCCCACGGATATGTTCATGGTCAATAGTAAGGGGGCCTTAATCATTAGAGCAGTGCTTTCATTGTGTATCATAGTGCACAGAATATGAAGAAACCTGAGGTAAAATGCTGTGCTTTCATTGTGTATCATAGTGCACATAATACGAAGAAACCTGAGGCAAAATGCAGCTTATTCCAACATCTATTACAAGCCGCGTGCAAACCTTGAGACCCCCCTAAACCGGGCCCCGGAGTAATCTCCCCACCATACACACCCCACTCTAAAGGGCCTAGTAAAACTGAGCTCAAAGGACCTCAGAGTGAAGGATTATAAGCAAATATGTAAGTATCCAGGACCCTCCTTATACTCTCACATAGGGGTATATGGTCCCAAATAAGGGGCATTTAGGGTCTAATAGAGGGTGGATGGAGGGTCTAGGATAGCTACCCTGACCAGTCACGTCAGAACTTCTCTTGGTCAATTCGTATCGGGGCTGATGCACGCTTCCCCTTTCGATACCAGCCAGCGTTCCCTTTACGGGAACTCACCATCAATGCCCAAACCCTAAGGCTGCATAATCTAGGGCAGGTGATAACTCGAACAGAGCATTTCGGGACATCATAGCTATTATAGCTAATTACGCAGCCCCCTGTTTTCAACCCCTTGGACAACCCAGTACTTACAACCCGGGTACGACCTCGCAAAAGACCCGGAGACAAAGCTCAGAGGCTGAAAGGATCGGGGTTCTTGCTGCTGCAGGGGCACGAGCATACAGCTGCGCAGACCCCTCTCTTCTCCGCCACCTCGTCCTGAGCTGCTCCTACTTGAAGGAGCCGAAGGCTCCGCAGCCCCAAAAAACATAAACACCTGAATTGGGACCAAAAGCATACTTATAGCCTTCCTTATTCAGCAACCTGGTCCTGCATGCGTCTTCTTTCTTTCTTGGGGAGCCGCTTGGGTGCGCATCATCCTAGAGTATACCAGAAGGATGGACTGTATAGGCTTGTTCGGACATATCGGAGGTATAGTAAGCAGATAAGACTCGCAGGAAAATTGACACGACGATATATTCAAACCCCTATAACAAACCCACGCCCTGGCAAACACTGATTCCTACAAAGAATCACCTCAGACCTAAGCCGCTCAAACATCTAAGCCTCAAGCCCAAATCCCAGCTGTGACTCCATACGAATGTCCCAAATCCCGGAAGGCCTGACACTCAAAACCTCGGAACCTCCTACACCCCTGTGACACTCCTGCATCAAGTGTAGATTCCTGCATAGAAATGCGTAAAGCAAACACTGAAATTCTGAGACAAGCATCGGGGGCGTCAGCATTGCCACCCTTCGGTGGCGCCTCGATTCCTCAGCCGCCTTCCATTCAAAAATGCCCAAAGCCCCTCCAAAGGATTTAGAATTTAGCAGACCCCCAACCCGTAAACCCTAAGCCCTAAACCCCCAATCCTAATCCTAATTCGACATTGTGCCTTCGAGGATCTTTGTATAGGATGAGGGAGCTGAGAGGCGTTTGAAACCCTAAACCCTACCCTTTTTGAACGAAGTCCCTCTGAAACCCCAAACCCTCTCATCGAATCTTGCCTGGGTTGGGTTTGGGGTTTGGAGTTCATGGAGCTTTAGATAGCTTTAGGGTTCAGAGCTGTCATAGCATGGACAGTATCATCACAACAAGGAGCGCTAAGGAACAGTAGTACGACCTATGCAGGATTTAGTACTGCTGTCGTGTTACTAACCTGTTACAGTAAACCCCATAAAGTTGGAAACCGGATTAAGGCCCAATGCAGCTGGGATTCCCTTTACATTACTCTTAAGGATTGAGCCTATTGGGTTTCCAACTTTCGGCCTTCTACTGTAGTAGAGTTTGAAGCTCCAGGAACTCAGCACTTAGCCCCTCGGCTGCTCAGTCTGATCATATGCCAGTTCCAGGTAAAAGGCTTCCTGAATGTTGAGTATATAAACCCTTAAACCGCAAAACTGCAATTCGTCAAAACCTTCTAATTCCGTCTTGAGCCTTACACTTTGAACTTATCCTGCAACTCTTGACCTACACCAGGAACTCCTGGACGCATCAAACCAACAGCAAGCGTTGCATCCCTACAGGTCCATGCAGCCATACAGTAGATAGTTTGGCCCGTAGATACATATATGGCACTGTATTGTAAAGCCTGAGCATATATACAATAAACGTATAAGGACCCATAGCGCATATTATTGCCGCAGTGGCCAATAACGCCGGGCCTAATTCAGCCACGTAGCGGTTTACCGTAATAAGTCTCAGCCCACTCTATAGTTCAAACTTCTTTGCGCAAGTTCTTTGATTGAAAGTACACAGGCTCTCTGGGTTAACATGAAACCTTATGAAGCCGTTAGACAGCCCAAAAAAAGCTCACAACAACAAATCCTCCAACAATAACGGCCTGTCTGGAACTGTTGCTGCGTCATCCTCCGCGCTCCCAAGCTGGCCGAGTGAGGAACAAGCGAGAGACAGATACTACTTGAGCCAACAACGTCCACAGCATGTGAGTCGGGGTCGGGAGTTTGCTTAAGGTTATGCGGGAGCCCCATAAACCAAAATTCAATCTCTAAAACCTTAAACCGTACAACCCTAAACCCTGAACCGTGGCTCTGTGGCAGCGTGAAAGGCACGGTTATCAAGGAGCCTCAATACTTCCCAGCATTGTTCTATGCATGAACCCAGAAATCTGCAGATGATTAGTGTTGCACCAAATCCTGCTCGAATGATCCAGGCCCTCACATGCCGGGTTTTTTAGCTGCAGGATTTCGGATCTTGGGGTCTAGTACTGTCAAAGGACCCCATCTACATAAACAGTTTCGGGCATGTAGGGTTTTGGTGTTGTCGTACATGTATAGAGTGTGGGTGTTTTTGTTCATGTACGGGGTTTCGGGCTTAGGGGTTTTGGCTCTTGGCATTTGTCTATGTTTGAATTGAGGAATAGGAGTCCTGGTCCAGGCCAAAGTAACATGCACACCATCAAGGCCAAAAGCTTGGCGTTAACCCCTAAACCGAAAGGGTCGGCGGGTCTCGGGTTGGAAAGCATGAGCATGTCGCAAACTTTCGAACTCGGAAAGGTTTTGACTTGAGGTGGATCAGAAAAGCAAACACCAAGGCTCGCGGCACTGCATCTTGGCCACGTTTGTGTGTGTGTGGGGGGGGGGGGGGTTGTAGGAACAAGCACACTCCAAGAACTCTGAGAATCGCATCGCTGAGGTTTGGGGCTTCGTCTGCCGAATATCTGCCATCCTGAAAACTCTCTCGCAATCTCTCTCTCTCTCTCTCTCTCTCGCTCGCTCTGCCTATATGTACATATCATATCATATATATAATGTGCATCCGTAGATATCACATGTGTGGATAGTTGCCCTGGTTCCGGCGTGATATTCAATATAGACTCCAGCCCAGCACGGCGAATTGGATTTAGTCCACACGAAAGACTCGACAGGTTGTTTGACATCAGAAGACGAGACTGGGAAGAGAGGCCTACCCCTTATGCCTGACAAAAACCCAAGCCAATCATTTAGCAACTTCTCGCACTAGAGGCTTCAAGTATTCAAGCATCAATCGCAAAGTAGCCTTGCACTGTTAGTTTGGGTGCTTCGTGGGGTTCTGAAGGGGCTTTGGGGCTTTAGAGTTTAAAGGCTCGTACAGACCTGAAAGACAGTAAGCGCCAATTTTTGGACCTTTGCTTTCGCGGTCCACGGCTCAGCCCAGGTTCCTGAGTAGCCCCCTTCATAATAAGGGCACCCTTTTTCCTACTGTTGGGCTTTAATGGGAGAGCCCGAAAAGAAACGGGGCAACAGGGTACTACTCAGGAACCTAGGCTCAATGGATGCTGCCGTTCACGCCGCCTCGATCGAGGGAATGCAGCTTGGCGGATGGGGCGGACCCGGCTTAACCCCGAAACCCCAAACCCTCTGTAAACCCTGAACCCCCAAACCTGTAGACTCTATTCTTATGGGTATGTAAATTTGCATGAAAGAATCCATGTATGTACGTACAAACTATATATGTTCCAAGGCTGCCGGGATGTCCATAAGAGTTGGGGGGCAAGGTTTTCTTGGAAGGCCTCCGAGGTTTTCGAAGGGCTTGGGCAACTTCGATGTACGAAGTCTTTCATAAGCCGGAGGTAGAGGCGCATGTAAGACCCCAAGGCTCTCAGCGCATCTTGGCTGAACCCTCGGACTGTCACAGTGGAGCCAAATAAGCAATCCTGAAATCTCAGCCCCTCGAAACAGCAAATACGCAAGCGCCGAAGCCGAAACATGAACCTGCACAGACACACCACAAATTCCATGAGCTAGCAGTTCCTTTTTGGGCGGTTCATGTTTAGAATCCTATACGGTAATCCCAATAAGGAACTACTATGGACCCTATGGGCAGACCCAACTCCCGGAAAGATGAGCACCTAATTCCATGAGCACATTTGGAGAGTCACGGGTAGTTATAAGTTGGGTTAGACGTCCCCTATTATATATATATATATGTGTATATATATATATATATATGGGTTATAATTATGGTTGACCTATCTTCTAAACCCCAAATATAACTACCCACGAACCTCCAAGTACAGTCTATGGGGCCTATGGGGTTTCTTAATCAGGCTCCTACAGGATTATAAAGTATGGTACCCTTATAGATCCCTTCTGGTAACCCTTATACACCCCTTTAAAGGGTTCTACATTACCCAGGGTGCCCTCGTGCTCACAAATTAAGCCCTTTGACTGAACCGCGCTGGTGACGGCCTGGCACTTTCGCCTGGCCGCATCGCAGCAGCACTCCGCCTGTGCAAAGGCTTCAAAGGGTCCTTGAGGTCCAAAAGGTACCTCTAAGGGGGGATACTGGCCCAAACCATAATTAATAGTACTTCCGATTATAGAGACCCTACATTCTACGATATAGGTACTTAGGAGGAGCCTTTAGGAGTCTGAAGTGGGAAGGAAGTCACATGTAGGCTTGAGGTTATGCGGGAGCGTACCTAAGGTGCGGAAGTTGGCGTGAGGATTCCAACAAGGAAACGACGGCTTCAAAAACATAGGAACACCCTTTGAGGACGGAGTATACATACTATATAGGCACATCGACCCTTACTAATTTGATGAACCAGCCAGGTTCCACCAAATCCACAAAGCCCCAACTTACGCCCATTTCTCGGCTTGGAAACTATAGGTATAGTGGAACGTTTACCCATCCAACGCAAGGTTCCAACGACCGTAAATCACCAAGCCCAACACCCCAAACCCTAAAACCTACTCCTGAAGCTGAAGCCTGAAAGAAGAGCCAAGCACGGACAGCTCGTGCCGGCCTGAGCTGAATGCTCTAAGACCCTCAAGCCCTGAAGGTTTAGCATCCAGTTCAGGGTTTAGGGTATTATTATCGTATTATTATTATAGTACTTATTAGTATAGTAGTACTATTATAGTATTATTGGGGTAAATTTGCAAGAGCACCCAAATCCATCGCTAGCGGCCTCTCAGATGCCCACCATTGACTGTCTCTTTGGGCAGCCTGAGTTGCGCGATGGCATCAGGGCTTTCAAGTCTTCTACAGGGGACGGCGGGGTGGGGGGTGCCTGGGATGAGTGATGCGGTTTCGGGGTTTTGATTCGGTCTCCTTTGGTTTGGTGTGGCTCAAGGCTCAGTGGCTTTAACATTTACGATATGTGGAGTCGAAAACAATAACCCCCGCTATTCCTAGCTCTATACTCGTTAATTGGCTTTCACAAATAAGCAATAATAGTAATGTGAAATGGTCGGAATGAGAATGACAATAGTAGTATAGTCGGCACACTGATTACAATGGTTTTAAGGCATGTCGCAGACACATGCGCACATACGCACTGATGCACACACACACACACACCCGTGGGTAGTTCTTTAAATTAGGCTCCCTTTTAGGTCCACGTATAGTACAGATCCCTTAATGGAAAGACCGAAAAGACACCCTAAGTTAAAGAACTACCCATGTAGTACCCTTATAGGAACCAAGTTGAAACCCTTGTAGATCCCTTTATATCCCTTTGAGCCCTAAAACGGGACCCTAACTGAGCCGCAGGCACTTCAGCGGGGTCACGGATCACCTTTGGCTGCCCGGGGGGCAAGGCCTTGGGCTCTAGGGCTAGGGCTCAGGGCTTAGGGTTCCGGGCTTAGGGGTTTTGGTTTTAAGGCTCAGGGTTTGGCATCTGTGATGGGAGTATCGTTTTTTAGCAGTAGGACGCCGGGTCTGGGGCTCCGGTGTGTAATTAAGATTCAATAGAAAAGATCTGGGCCTTCTTGTGCCGTTCTTCCGGCCGCTTTGGGGTCAGGGGCCTTCGGGTTTACTCCGGCCAGCTTGAACTTGAAGTCTTGCGAGCCATCGTCTCAAACATAACGCCCCCAAAGCTCAGAACTGCAACCTCGAATCGGTTCGAATCCCCACACCGGGAACTTGGTGATCTCAGAGTCCCAAACCCTCCACCCAAATCCTGCAAAGTGGAGGCCAATCCCAACTCCTTGCTATTTCCGGGGCCCCTGCGGCTGTGTGGTTCACGGCCACCTGCTGTTCACATGGGAAACGCAATGCTTTGCACTTTGACGACCTCAAACCCCACAAACCCCAAACCCTGCACCCTGCAAAGTTCGGAGAGACGATGAGTTTTGGGGCTTTTGGCGGGGGACGAGGGGGGCGCTTAGGGCTTAGAGGGTCGCGCAGGGTTGAGCGCTTAGGGTGTACAAGAGAGCCTTTAGGGTGGTGTATAATACAATGTTTAGGGGTTTAGTGTTTAGGGTTTGCGGGAAACTTGCCGTAACAATAGTTTTTCCAAATATAGACACCTTACATGCTGCTATATAGTTATCATATCTTAGGATTCTAAACCCTGTACCTCTAAAGTAACCTCAAAAAAAATCCCCTAAAGTACCTTTTAAAGAAACCCTCACAGTTCCCTTGCAGGTAAGTACCGAGGACCCTTTAAGGGAGCTACAAGGCTCCCCAAACCCGTGACCCCTGAGATCGGGGTCTTTGCAATTACAAGAGGGTCCCCTTAAGGGCTCCTTTAAAGGGTTCTATAACTTATCCCTCACTCAAGGCTATCATACAAGCACTTAGTATTGGGGCCACAAAAAAAAGAACAGGGATTTGGGGCCCATCATACTACAACCACAACACGGACCCCCCCCCCCCCCCCCCAACAAAAAAAATAAAACATGGTAATAAAATAGGCCTTATATGAGAGCTCTAAAACCTTGGACCCAAGACAGCTCTGAACCCCAAGGCTCCATGTACATGGTTTAGGGGTCTAGGGGGTTAGGGGTTAGGGGATTACAGTTTAGGGGTTTAGGGCTCAGGGGTTTAGAGTTCAGGGTTTAGGGATTAGTGGCACATTATGTCAAGAGGCCTCGAAGAGTTCCTTTACAGGAACTCCATGTACATGGAGCCTTTTTAGCTGGACTTTGAAGTAACCAGGGGCAAACAAAGATAGACTTATGATTTATATCGGTTCCTTTAAGGACCGAGCAGGTTCATGAACACAAATCAAGTATGGTAATCCAGAACCCAGCATAGGGGAATCTTGAACCCAAAACCCTAAACTGCGGAAGAAAGCTGCCAGAGGCCCCGGCCCCGGTGAGCGGTGTAGTACCAATCGTCGAGGTGTCGCCGCCAGTGCTGCAAGCTCCTGGAGTGGATTAGAGTTCAGGGGACTGGTGGCAAGTGTTCAAGGTTTCGATGAATTTACTGGGTTTCTCTAGCAACGTTCAAGCCTAAATCATGAAAACCAAAACTTTCGCGAAAGTTCGGAATCCCCACTGAGATCTTACACTACGAACCCTGGGCTGGACCAGGTCGTAGACTTCGACATGTTAGGCGGTGGGAATTTCACGGCTTTTTTCCCCTTTCCAGGCGACGACAAGTCCGCGCACCTAGTTTGGGTACGGCCCCCATACAGTAACAGTCTATAACAGGGCTACTATAAAGGGCCTTATATATCTAGATTATGACTATTATCCAACTGTTACTGAGTGGGGGCCGTACCCAACACCTAATGACAGACATCCTAAGGGCCTGCTGGACCACTAGCTCGATCAGGTCTATCTAAGGCATGTTGTAGCTTTGCATAGGATGCTGTTGAAAGTAGCGCGGCCGACGTCGAGTAAAGGTACCCGGTGAATGCACGGCCTAGGGTCAGAGCTGAATCGTGGAGTAAACTCCTAAGCATCCCTAAGCCCGACCCTCGGTTGTCGTTTTGGGGCCCTTGAAAGTATATATGAATCGTAGATACCTCTAGACTCTAAAGGAACCATAATTTATGGTTCCGTTATTAAAGGAACCACATATTATGATTCCTTTATTAAAAAAACCATAATTTATGGTTCCTTTGTTAAAGGAACCATGATTCATGGTTCCTTTATTCAAGGGATACCTAGTGCTATACCCTGAAATCGCTCTGCTTTCTCCAAGGCGCCTGGCCCGGGCTGTCCCGTCTTGGGCCCGAGGCTGCCAGAGCGCTGGGAGCTGGGCACCGGCCTCACTCGTCGATACACCCGAGGGTTCATATATGGGCAGTTGTCGAAATTAAGGTCCCTTTTGGGGTACCTGGACCCAAAAAGGGACCATGATTTTGACAACCATATATATATATATACATACATATTTATGTATATATATATATATGTATAGATAAATAAATAAATATATATACATATATATACATATACGTACGTATATATATATATATATATATATATATATATATATATGGATAGATAGATAAATAGATAGATAGATAGATAGAAATATCGCCATCATGGAATTCAGCCGCAAAAGACCATCCCTATGATGGCTTGTAAAACCTGATCCCATAATAGTTTTGTATGGACCCTCTTGATAAAAAGCTCGTGGACTCGAAGCTCGGGCGTGTCCACATGTGCGGGTTGGGTAGTTCTCTAAACTAGGTTCCCCTTTGAGGTCTTATTTTAATAGGGGTGCGCTACTATTGTGGGGACCGAAAACGGAGTCTGCTTTAGAGAACCTGCGTATTGGCAAGCATGTCACGCACCTGTCTGTGCCTGCGAGCATATGTATGTACAGATTCACGGTGCCGAGTTCCTTTTTATAGCTCATATTTAGAATCCTATAAGGTAGTCCGTCCCCAAGAGGGAACTACTATGGAGCCTATGGGTACCCACACCTAAACCCAATTCCACCAAACGTGAAGCCTCCTATAAAGCCGTGAGCCCCTCAACCATCATGGTTGCTGCGGCCATGCAGACAAGCCACCACACTGCAGCACGCCACTGCACACCACCAGGCCTCCAAAGCCAGTCTTTGTAGATTTTACCCTGCCTCCATGACTATTCCTATGGTCCTTAGCTATGTCTTTACGCGACGCGCACTTGGCCCAAGTCCCCATTGGAAAAAGGTCCACAGGGTTGACTTACCGGTACCTAGCCGTGCTAAGCTGTTAGCCTGAGAAACTTCAGTCTTAAAACCTCTAAAGCGAAAAATTAGGATTTGGGAGTTTCCGAAAATCCGGGATCCAATATAGTACCCTAAAACATGGGATCCTTCTTATAAGGACCCCAAAATAAGGTACCCCTAGTTTCCGAAAACTCCCATTTAGAGTCTACAGCGCAAAAGCTTTTCTGGGTTTAGGGTTTAGGGTTTATAGCCTATAGCCCACTCGACCTTACAATTCCTAGCGAACCTAAACCTTCCTCCCAAGATCTACAGATAAATAACCCACAAAATGTTTGGCAGCCTGGGGTACATCGGGACTTTCACTCTGCGCTGCTCAAACCCTCAAACGCTAAACCCTCACCTTTAGAAACATTCAATGCGTTGTTTCTCTGCCAGCTGGGCTTGCCGTCCAGAGCCTGTTAAGGTTTAGGGTTAAGCCTCAGGGCTTTGGGTTTATGGTTTAGGGTTAAGGGCAAGACTTAAGTGACTGATTCCGCACTCACTGGTTTGACATATGATGGAGATTCTAGCGCTTGGCGGAAACCTCAGCCCAAAGATTCTGTCAACCTGAGCAAGTTCGCGTTACAGGGTTTACGCTTGCGGAAGCCAAATCCTGGAAACCCCAATCCCCAAAACCCTAGCCTTAACCCAAAAACCCAAAACCCTATATAAAACCTGAAACCCTAGCCTAAACCCAAAAACCCAAAACCCTAAAACCCAACAGGGTGAATCGGTTATGGTTAAGGGAACCATGTCGGGGGCTTGGTGGCAAAATCGTGAACCTCTTGGGCCTTGTGTTGCAATGCAATGGCACTTTGTGTGATTTTTTTTAAAGTGCAATGGCCCTTGTAGAAATTTCTTCAAAGTTCAATGGCCCCTTTAGATTTTTTTCTCAAGTGCAATGGCCCTTTTAGAAAGAGGGGGCACTCCTTGCTCACTTGTGTTACGAGTGAAAAGGGTTTAGGGTTTTGCATTAAATCTGCTGCTGACTTACACGGAATACGGAATGGCCTCGCGATCGGTAGCACGGGAACTGCGACTTCCATGGTTGGCGTCTCTTTGGCCCTGAGCACTTGGGCTCGTAAGCGGGATGTTTCGGGTTGAAGGTTCCGCAAAGGGTCCAAAGATAACCCCTTGTTTTAATAGAATGTAGGGCCAATGTAGGGTTTCTATGTGGGAGTTTCTGAAAATTAGGGGTACCTTATTTGGAGGTCCTTATAATAAGGATCCTACTACTCAGGGTACCATGTTAGGGTCTCCTATTTTCGGAAACTCCTATGTAACCTCCCCCTAGTCCTCGACTGCTGGGGCCTGCACCTGAACCGTCCGCTGCGAAGAACTCATCCTGCTGGGGTCGCAGGGCAGATCTTGTGCGGCACCCAAAGACTCCAATAGCCCTTTATTAAGGAATGTACCTTAAATTATAGTCGGATCCCTAGTATGATTTAAGGTATATTCCATAATTAAGGGATATTGGAGTCTTTGGGGCTCTTCCTGCACGTCCATCACGCTCCAGGATGGTGGGAGTCTCGGGGTCTGCTGCGCCAGCGCCGGCGCGGCTGACGGGAGCCCCTTGATATAGCCATTCCCTAAGGCTCCATGTACCCTTATAGTAGATACTTAGGCCTTCAAGTACCTACTTTGGGGCTTAAGTATCTACTATAAAGGTACATGGAGCCTTTGGGATTGTAGTCCTCTTTGCCTGCCATTGTAACCATCGCTCCATCTGATTCGTAGTGAAGAGGAGCGTTGATACTGAGCTCCTTGGAGCTGTGGAGCCTGAGGCTTTTGCCGGTCACGAATGATGCAAGGTATCTGTCCCATTTGTTCAACTTGACGTCATTGGTGCCGGCGACGATCTGTACGGCCGACGGCCATCTTTTTCAACCCTGCACCTTCTTCGCAAGCGGCGGTGAAGATCTTGATCGTGGCCTCCCGGAATTGCTATTCTGATTTCACGCAGTATCCCGCATAGTGGCACCTATCAAGGCTTGAGATTACTATACTGAACTTAGACCCGTAGCAAACCTTACAAGTTTTCGCTGTTTCTTAGGGCTTCTAGGAACCAAACAATATAAACAAACACATATTTCTAAGTACGCCTAAGATATATAAGGTTGAGGATCAACCGTTGGGAGCTTCGGGGATAAGGGCCACTATAAGGGCGACTACAAGGATTTAGTATAGGGGCCTTGGTAATTCGAACAGGATTCAAGAAGTATGGTTTATTATACCATAACTGAAGTAAGGAAACCCCCAAATGGCATTAGTAATTGTTTATTTAGGCCCCTGTATGACACCTTGAAACCCTGGTCTCGACAGACAACAGCCGAAAAGCTGAAGCGCCAGAGCACCAAGCACGACTATTCGAAAGCCCGAGGGAGAACGGCTTAGGGTTTCGGGTCAAGCGTGGTTGCAACACTCCAACTTGCTTATGGTCACTTTAGGGTATGGATAAGCCTACTTACTAACCTACTAACTAACTAAGTTCCTGGCTCTCAGATTTAAGTAAAATTCTATTGAGGTGCGGACGAGAATATTCACCAACAAACACAAGCATGCTCACCGCAGGTGAACCAATGTCAATGTAGTTTACATAAACCCCACGACGCCTTTGAGGTTTGGGGCTGTATGGGTTGCATGATTACAGTAATCCTATCCTGACCAGAGTTTAGGATCCAGGTTTCAAGACGTTTGGGCCTTGGGGCGCACATTCTGCATCATCGCAGCTCGTGGCGCTAAACCCTACACCTGACATTCTGAACACTTACACCCTATAAACCCGAAGCCCAAGCCCCAAAACATCCCAACCCCTCAAGCGCTACAAACCCTAAACCCTAGACACCTTGTAAACCCAAACCGTCAAACCCTACACCTTAATGAGCCTTAAAGCGTAAACCCTGCACCCCATAAACCCTAAACCAGAAAACCCCACACTCCACAAACCCTAAGCCTTAAAACCCCACACTCATAAACCCTAAACCCTCAAACTCTACTCCCTGTCAACCCCAATCCGTGAAACCCTACACCCTCCAAACCCTAAACCGCTAGCTCTATAAACCCCAAACTCGAGGGCCCAACATAACCTCGGAGTTCAGGAAAGTGCCTGCACCCAAAGTACTGGCTCATTTCGCATAAACTACGGCTTAGGGCTTTTCTCTAATCTCCATTGCAATTCCTTTGTATAAACTGCTTAAGACAAAAGACGAGCTACAATCGAGACTAAATGTAAGGTTTTAGGGTTTTTCTTGGCATGGGATTTTCACTCCCTAGGCGAGGTGTTCAACCCTAGTGGGAATCAAACAAGCGCTCGACCACTACAGGTCTGCGCCATGAGGTCACCGTGTTGAAAAGCTTGCGGTTTTCGGCTTTAGGTTTTAGGGATTTAGGGTTCTACTTGTCGGGTATCATGGGGAACTAAAGGTTAATCCTTTGGGTTATATAGGGATTATATAAGGACCATACTACCCAAAACAGGTTAAAGGTTGCCTACTCTACTACTAGAAACGGTTCTAGGCTTTAGGGATTGAGGGTTTTAGGGTTGAAGGCTTTAGGTTTCAGGGTTTTAGGCTTTAGGGTTTTAAGGTTTAGGTTTTAGGGTTTAGGGTTGATTTAGGGTTGGAGTTGTGGGGGGGCTTCAGGGTGAGGGTTTCCAAAACCCAAAGACTCCAATATGCCTTAATTAAGGAATATACCTGAAATTATAGTAGGATCTCTAATGTGATTTAAGGTATATTCCTTAATTAAGGGATATTGGTGTCTCTGGGAACCTCGCGATATGGAGAGCCGTGTGGAGGATATTGGAAAGCTGCGGGCCAAGATGACTCAGCCTAAAGTTGCACACGCGCGTTGTACCTAGATGTCCTAAACCCTACTTGGAGGTTCATGGGTAGTTATGAGTGGGGTTATAAGTCCCCTAATATGGGTAATAATCATGGTCACCCTACTTACAACCCCACTTAGAACTACCCACAAACCTTCAAGTAGTCAAAACCCGAAACCGCATACCAGTCGCAGGACACTAACACTCTAATTAAACCCCGAGCGCCTTCATCCCTAATGGAACTCCAAACTCCTCGACGCCGGAACCCTCGCTGTGCTATGGGGTCCTAACGACCCTTTTTGGTGGATGCTTGCTCAAACTCCACACTATAATTAAGAGCAATGCCATGTACATAAACCCTACATCCTGCTGTCTAGGAACTTAGGACCCTTTGGGAATAAAAGGACTTCCTATTGCATAAACCCTATATTCTGCTATGTAGGTACTTGGAACCTTCCCCGTGCGGAGTCCTGGTCCTCGCTGTGGAGGCGGAGGAGGCGGAGGTGTCGAATCACCTGCGCTGCTGAGCACTTGGAGGCGCATGGGACCTGGTAAGTAAGGGCTCTATGGGGGTTCCTTTAAGGGCTTCCGTGGAGGTGCATGGGACCTAGTAAGTAAGGGCTCTAGAAGGGTTCCTTCAAGGGCTTCTATAAGGGCTCTACAAGCAGGATCAGGGGATTTAGCAGTAGGCAAGTCTAAGTATGGTTACCGTATTAAGAACCCCAGCTGGGTCCCAGCCCGAATCACCAGAACCCTGAACCCTAAATTGGCCCGAAGCCCGAAACAACAAAAACAAAAACGGACAAGCTCTCACGGACATATTCCTGAGGAGTGGCTTGCAATCAACCCGAGCACACAAACTTCAACAGCACAGGCACGAAAAACCCAATCTAAAAAAGCTAAAAAGGGCATGACTCTTCTTGCCAAGGCCCCAAAATTTCAAGCGGCCCAAAACCGAAGTCCTAAATTCTACTAAACACTCAACCCCAAACCCTAAACCCTACAACCTAATGCCTGAAGCCTGAAACCTTACTATCAAACGCCCCTGGAACCGTAGTAACAGCAATGTCTCTAGCAATCCACCGGAGTTGTATTACATAGTCAAAGTAACTGCCTAAGGAAGCCCCGGCCGGCTCGCTACTTAGAGGTTCATGGGCAGTTATAAGTGGGGTTATAAGTAGGGTAACCATAGCTATAACCCATATTAGGGGACTTCTAACCCCACTTTTTACTACAGATGAACCTCCAAGTACGGAAGCTGAAAACTTCCAGAATTGAACCCTTGACCCGGCGACCTAGGCTTTACCGGCACCCCCCAATCCAAGGGGTCCTAAGTACCTACATTTAAGAATACGGTGAGGGTTCCTTGAAGGGTACTTTAAGGGTTCCGGCTACTTTGGGGGGTACGGGGCTTCGGGTTCCAAAATACCTGTACAATAGGATGTCTGGTTTCTATGGGGGTAGTTACTAAGATGGTTTGGGCAAGTATCCCGCCTACTGGCACTAGGAACCTTTATGGCTTTACCAACCCCCCAAGTAGCCTTTCATAGTGGGTACTTAGGCTTTGATAAGGGGTAGTTGCGGGGCGTTGGAGGGGGGAGGATCATGGGACTTAGTAAGTAAGGTTATAAGTACCTTAATTGGGGTTATAAGTATAGTTACCCTAATCATAACCCTAGTTACTAAGTCCCATGATCCTTCACGTAGACCCTGTGTAGAACCCCTATACATCCCCTGAAAGGAGCCCTTTAAGGAACCCTAGTTCCTAAGTCCCATGATCCTTTGAGTACACCCACCTCCCGGAAAGATGAACACCGAAACCATGTGAAATATGGGAGTTTCCGAAAATAGGTGACCCTAATATTGTACCCTACATAGTAGGAGCCTTATTATAGAGACCCCAAAATAAGGAACCCCCTAAATTTCGGAGATCCCCATATGGGGCCTCTAAGATGTCCACCGTTGGCCGACACCTTGGGCACCAATGCCTCTAAAGGTTGAGTGGATGCCCGAGAGGTCCTGCCGCAGCAGCACGAATGCTTAAAGGATCATGGGACTTAGTAACTAGGGCTCCTTAAAGGGCTCCTTTAAAGGATTTATAGGGGCTCTATTATAAGAGGGGTTGTAGGGTCTGCTTGAAGGATCATGGGACTTGGTAACTAGGGTTATAAGTAGGGTAACTATACTCATAACCCCAACTAAGGTTCGTATAACCTTACTTATAATAAGTCCCATGATCCTCTAAGTGGGGTTAAGGGTTAAGGGCTGAGGGGTGTAGGGTTTAGGGTTAAGGGAGGAGTTTAGGGCGAAGAATGATTGTTGTGGGGTCTAGGATTTTTGGGTGCATGCAGGGTTTAGGTTCGATTCACGAAATCGACCTGAATTAGTGATTCGGAAGGCGCCTGCAGGATTCTCATCTGTGGAATGAAGCTTCAGGCTTGCCCGCACTTCGAGTAGGTTCATGGGTAGTGAAAAGTGGGGCTATAAGTCTCCTAATATGGGTTATAAGTATGGGTACCCTAATTTTAACCGCACTTATAACCACCCATGAACTTCCAAGTAGAACCCAAGCGGAAGTCAAAACTCCGAACCTCCCCCCCCGTTCTGCCTCTAAGACTTCTCAGCTGAGGGAGTTGAAATGCTTCGGGCTCAGGTTTATGTTTATGTTTAGGGTTTCGGGCTGTTAAGAGTTTAAGACTTTTGACTTCCTGCACCAAAACTCGATACAAGGTAGTCCAGGCTACCCGGACGATACGAACATGAACTCTCAGCACCGAGAGCCAGCGTGATCAAACCGTCACTAACCATTGAAAATTTAATCAGAGCCAAATGGCCCATGTACAACACACAGGCGCGCGCTCAATCCTGGCGCAATGCCACAAACCTTCCGGCTGTGCATCCGAAAAGCTTAAACCCCAAAGCCTCCCTAGGCTCCAGCAGTTCACGACAGTGCACAGAATCGTAGCTCCACCCGCAAAACCCCAAAGTCTGCATCCGAAACCCTAACTTCTGCATGGGTAGTTGCCAAAATTGTGGTCCCTCTTTGGGTACCCTAAAAATTAGCTGCCGTAGTATATTAAGGACCCCCAAAGGGACCATGATTTTGACAAGCACCCACATGCTAAGCCTTAAAGATGCTGAACTAATAAACCTTGAAGCCTAGCTTCCCAAAGGGTCCAAGATCACCCAAAATACCCTATAAGTATATACCATAATGATACTTGGACCCTTTGGGTTTTTTCGGCCAGAACATCCTTAGAGCCAAAGCCCGAAACCCTGAAGCTAGGGGGGTAAGGGTCAGGAGCGGCAGGGTGGACCCTCCAATATACCCCCACGACCTACTTGTAAAGGGCCATTAGGGCTCCATTAAAGGGCCATTGGGGGGGTCCTGGAGGGTACCATACTTCCGTAAATAAGCCTTCTTAGACGCTTATCAAGTCCGTACAAATCAGGGATGTTAAGGCCCCCTACACCCAACCCCCTAAAACCCCCCCTAATAAAACACCGGGTCTCAGGCGCATCAACGATTTCGGGGATCACCTCTGCATCCCTGGTCCGAAGCACCTGAATGAGGTTTAGGGTTTAAACATTCAAGGCCTTTTAGCGTATGTAGAGGTGTTAGGGTTAGATTTTCGTGGGGAGTAACTTGCTATGCTTAGAAGCAATGCCGAAATCGAGGGTACTGGTTGTAAAATCTCAAGGAAGCTAAGTTATAGTTTATCGCCTTCCGAGATTGGGTTTAGTGTGCCTCGCAGCTCCATGAGCACAAGTACCACTAAACACTGGCTAAATCCCAGAACCTGCAGCCCTATCCAAACCCTGTAAAATCATGATGAACGGATGAAGATGTTGCGGTAGCAGAGCCGTGACAGAGCAGCTCGGACAACTTGTTTCAGCACAACCGACCACAAACCTCAATTCCTTTGGGCATAGAAGCGGCAAGAGTCCTGAAAGCAGAAGCGGTCTTCCTCGCCGGAAACCGTGCACTGCTAAGCTTGGTCAACGAGATTCCATTGCAATTGAAGCCTCAGGAAGGGGTGGATAAGGGTTAAGCGTACCAATTTATAAAAGAAACCTACGGCCCAACCCGATGCCTCGAACCTGTAGCCCTAAACCGAAACCCATTCATTCAAGGCTAAACCAACTGCACCTTGGGCTGAACCCACATATTGAGTCTCTTCACGGCTGGGGTTTCCGGTTTATAAGGTTTAGTGCCTCAACCTTGCGGGCTAAAAGCGAGTCAAGTACGTGTAGCCCTATAGTTGAAATGACTACTCATGGTCTCTGCCTCCAAGAAAGCCTTTAAATCGCACCTAGACCCTGAAATCTACGTACTTTCCCCTTGTCTTTGGTTAGCTCCTTGCCGATGATGGGGACCTTGGCCATATCACATTAGCTATCCGAAAACGCAGCACAGTACCACCCGGTCTAGTTAACCCTCTTCATGCAGATACGCGTATCAGTATATCATGAGAAGTCTCCCAAACCGTTCGAACGACATAGAACCCATACCATCATGATGCCCCTAAACTTGTTAAAGCTTAGGAGTACAGTCTTCACTTTATGGTCGGGAAGGTCTGTCATGCACCATACCTGATTTGAGGACAGATCTCCGCGAGCTTCTTTTCGAGGATCCGGCTCCAGAAAGCGGTGCCGTACCAATCGTCGAGGTGTCGCGACTGTCGCAGCCTCCTCGCGGGAAAACGCGACTAAGGTTAAACCTATTTCGAGAGGGAAGTCTGGCTTTCAAAGGTTCAAGCATTATGAGAACTTGCGTGTAGGGTGAGTTACTGTGGATCCTCCCAGCAGGCTCTCCAGCCAGCCAAGCCTGTCAAACATCCCCCTAGATAAGTACGTAGGACCAGTTTCGGAGCTCTGATGGATTTTTACACAGAGTTGCTCTCGGTCTCCAATTCTCGACATATCTAGCTGGACTTTGGCGCAACCAGGCAGACGAAGCATAGACGATGGCTGCACAATGGTTCCTTTAAGGAACAAGTCCAAAAAAGTATTCAAGTATGGTACTCCAGAACCCAATTTTGCTTGACATCCAAACCTTTTAACTTGAAAGATCAAAAGCCGGAAATACATATAAACACACAGAAATGTGTACAAATATGCAATATATCTGACTACATAGTCTTCAATTCCGAGACAAGCCCCTAAACCCTAAACCTCACCCTGCACCGCTTCATGGATCTGCTCCTGTGGACTGCGGTGTTGCCGGAGCAGCCTGCGGGGTCCCGATGGCAAACAACTCCGCTCGATGGGAGAAGGATTCCTACAAGGTTCTACAAGGGCAACAGGGCTTAGGATTCGGTATGATGTTTAGACCCTCTATGGTTGAAGGATTCGTGCGTTTCGGGATTTGGGGTTTGGGAAAATTCTAAGCGATCAAGAGTCGTTCACAGTTCCCTGGGCTCCTCTTCAAAAAATGCAGACAATGGTGAAACCTGGTCGAAACAAGCCGGATCTTTTGTTAGAAAGGACTTGATACTCCTGAGTTATGAATTTTAGGGGGCTTAATTATTATGATTCAAAGTACATGCATTCCTTAATTGCATGGAAAGGGTACTTGGGCTCCCTGGGTGGGGGCCCAGAGCCAGGAGTAGCCAAGTGTGTCACACCTGCAACCCTGATCAGTCCTGCAAGCACCGGACATCTCCTACTCTACAGATGCGCTACACAGCTCCCCAGGCTTAGGCCATATAGCCTACTTGTCGGGTATCATTGAGAACTAAAGGTTAAATAGGGGCTATACTACCCCAAAAACGTTAAAGGTTACCTACCCTACTACTAGAATAGGGTTTATTGTTTATGACTATCAGGGTTTAGAATGTAGGGCTAACTCGACACCTTTCCCAACTAGATCTTTCGCGTAGCCATTTTGGCTCAAGGGTGCTGTAGTCGAGAGGCTACGGTCGAGGGTGCATTCATAGGATCCTTAAGGGAGGGTGGTTCAAGGGGGGAGGGTATAAGGAACCCTTAGGGGACTGTAAGGGAACCTTAGGGAGTACTAGGGCCTCCCTTAAGGATACTACAATGCATGCAAGCAAGCGTTGCTTAAATCAGACCTCGGGCCGCGCAACGCTGTGAAAAAGACGAGGCCACAGGACTTGCGTCCTTCTAGGAATAAAAAGGGCTCCCAATTTTTTGTATTGGGTACCTTTATAAGGAACCTAGGACTACAAAAAGGGAATAAGGGTACGACTGGGCATCCTAGTTAGGCAAGTAAAGCTCCGAAGCGCTCCCGGCCCCCAAGCGCCAACCCCGAAACCCCGAAACCTAGGCCCCCAAACCCTAAAAAATTATAGGGGCCTTGATAATTAGAATAGGGCTTTGGGACTCGTGATACTAGAATTACAATCAGGAATCACCCAAAATAGTATAGGTATCTATGTAAGTCCCTATCCTAAACCCTAAAGGTGCCTTCCTGTCGATGGCTACTTCGGTGAGCAAGGCTGCAGCCGCCTCGGAAAGGGATTTGGTTGAGAAAGCGTCGGCGATTGAAGGTTCAGGGCTTGGGGTTGGGGATTTGGGGCTTTGGGTTTATAGTTTAAACGTGAGGTGGCGCCCCGGCCATTGCCAGAGCCGCAGCATTTTCGAAGTTGCCTCGAGGCTCCATAGTAGCTACTATGGAGCCTATGGGTGGTGCTCATCGAGATCCTTGAGCTGCACGATGACAGCACCGTGCTCAGGCGGCTTGTCGAACTTGAACGCTGCACGTCGTGTGTCTTCAGGGTTTAGGGGTTTAGGGGTTTCGGGTTTAGGGTCACTCCCAACAATGCTGGACGCTACCCCGGTGGTTTGTCCACAAGGATGGCACGTCCTCAACGGTGCAGGGCCGGTTCTGGTTAAGGTTTAAGGTTTAGGGTTTAGGGTGTAGGATGGCTTGGGGTAGCTTCATGTCCAGCAACATTCTGCTTCGAAGCTTCAGGTTCCTGTGACGTTTCGCATTGACGCCTTTTTTGAAAGTAGACATTCAAAAGTTGGAAACCCAATGGCAATCCTTAAGAGTAATGCAGCGCTATTTGGCCTTAATCCGGTTTCCAACTTTATGGGATTCCCTAAACCCTAAACCCTGAACCCTAAACCCTTGTTGTAGAGTTTGGGAGGGGGTTGTCTGCTGTCCAAGAAACTCGCGAGATTCGGCGCCGCCTTTCCTAAACCCTACCTTCAACTACCGAAACCTACCGTTTTTTAGGATCCCAGTTTAAACCCTAATACGGATGTTTCTTTTAAGGGACCCTACAAAAAAGTTGGCTTTGGCAGGCAAGGTACTACTTTGCCCAAATTTCATTCAGGGCTCAGGTAGGATTCAAGAGTTGAGTATAGGATTGCAGGGCTTAAAAACCTTGAATTAAAGGTTGTCGAAATAGGTTGCTTTTTGGTCTGTGTCGTGCTCTGAAATTTCGTTGCCGTTTGCTGTCGCGAAGTTTCGAAGCGCGTAATCTCGAAACCGTTTTGAAGTCCCAGCTCCCTGGAGACCTGACCCCACACCCAGACCCCCAGGAGGATCCAAAAAGTAGATCCCTTCATGGGGGTTCCTATAGAGTACCCTTAGTAGTATAGGGCCCCAAAATTAGGGGATCTACTTTCTAGATCCTCCCGGGCGTCTGGGTACAGCAGCGATTGAGAATTCAGGTAACCCTGGTTGCAAACATGTACAATTTCGCGCATAGAGCGTGGGTAGGGCGACAGAATCGGGGCTGAAATTCTTCTCTACGGATGAGACGGTCCTAACCCTAAAGTCTTGAAGCCCCATCTCCAAACCCTCAACATCAAACCCTAGACTCTAAAGCAATCACTGGGCCCCAAGGAGTATCTTGCATCCAGAAGGAATGCTGAAGCTGGGCAGGCACTGAAATTCTTCTCCATTTTCCTTCAGCTTTGTCATAGTTGGGTAATGTCGTTTCCAGATTAAGATACCCCCCCAGATTAGACGGGGCCGTCCCGGGCATTTCATGGGCTTAATGAAGAGGTCCATTAGACCCCACCCCTATAGTACCGGAGCTCATTTAAACCCCCCCCGATTAGACGGGGCCATCCCCGAAAATCCCCGAAATAAGGATCAGTAGTATAGTATTATTACAATAGTACTAGACTTCAATACTACTACTAAACTACTGTTCTACTATTATACTACTGTAATACTACTACTGTACTACTGTACTACTGTACTACTGTACTACTGTACTACTGTACTACTGTACTACTGTACTACTACTTAATCGGGGGGGGGCCGGTAAAAACTTGAACCCATGAACAAGTTCAAGCGGGCCAACCTTGGGGGGGGGGGGGGGTTTGTTAATCGGTATCCAACATTAACATCTTACATGTTCACGGGCACTTAAACCCAATAAGAAATCTAAATGTATATTTTTAATCCTAACCCAACGATGAACTACCTTAACCTGCCAAAACCTACCCTCTTGTAGGTTCTTATTATAAACCCTAACATGGGATGCATAAGGACCCTACAAAAGAAGTAGGTTCTGGTGGCTTAAGGTAGTTAACCTCGTGGGAGTCCGCCTCGCATCTCTCTGCCACCGCCGTGGTGTGCCAGGCGCTGAGGGCAGCCCGGGCCACTGCCACGCCCTGGGCCTGGGACTTATCAAAGGACAAAAAGGAGGGACCCTTAATGGGGACCCCTACCCTCTAATGGGCTATGTAATCGGTATATAATAGCTATATCATGGGTATTTACCTAGGGGTCCTTATTAGGGGTCCCTCCTTTTACCCTTGGAACTTAGGTCTGCGGGAAAGGGTTTCGGGTTTCGCATACTTAAAGGATCATGGGACTTAGTGACTAGGGTTCCTTAAAGGGCTCCTTTAAAGGGGATCTATAGGGGTTCTACGCAGGGTCTACTTAAAGGATCATGGGACTTAGTAACTAGGGTTATAATTGAGGTAGCTATACTTATAACCCCCTAATTAAGGTACTTATAACCTTACTTACTAAGTCCCAGGATCCTCCAAGTAGTGGGTTGCCGGTGAAGGACCTTATAAGGGTCCATATGCCCATGTATAATCAACTTTTTGACCGTACAGCACCTATGCAGGAGCCGCTTTAGTGCCAAATTACAAAATTATTTGGGCGCTTGGACCCTTAGGGATAAGGGTTTAGAGTTCAAGAGGTCAGGGCTTACCCATGGGCTCCATAGTAGTTCCTTTTTGGAGTTACCTTGTAGGATTCTAAATATGAACTATAAAGGAACTTCTATGGAGCCTCTATAGGTAGGGTCTAAGATTAAACCGAATCCTCATAGCACATATCCAGAACCTGGTTCTTTCGGGCTGTCGGTTTAGCGTTTAGGGGTTAAAGGGTTTAGGGCTTAGGGGTTTGGGTTTAAGGCTCGGCATATTAAGGTTCAATCCATGACAGGCTAACAGCTTCTTGGCTTTGCAAGCCTGCTGCATGCCGCAAGAAGGTGGCCTTAATGTACCCTGAATGGCCTGAACCGAACGAAATACTATTCCCGCTTCCTTTGGCTTCCTTTCTATACCTGCAGAAGCACCCCAGCACCCTGGTCTGGGCTACGGCTCTAGGCTCTGTGTTTTCGGTTTTTCGTGGTTTAATGTCGAATATGCTGGCCTTCATCCCTTTATAACAAGATGCTTTTCGGGTACAGCACAGAAACCCAAGTCCCAAACCCTATGAGGCCCTCGAACACCTGAAAAATCTTATGGCACTGGCACGCTCAGGCAAGGTACAGAGTATCAGGCTTTCACGCCCACAGACAGGCACGTTGTAGCTCGGAGCCGCTGTCCACAACAGACCCGATGCTTCCCGAAATCGGCGGCATGCGGCCCTGCCCTGGCCACGCTATCAGGCAAAGCTCTGTGCTGGCACTGTTCACGAAGGCCCGAGCTCTCAGCAAAGCCCTGAACTTCGCGTGGAGTCGATGTCATAAGTCAGGCAAAGCCTCTTGCACTTCATCTTGTGCTTGGACAAGACCCTCCCGGCGACCTTAAGGTCCGCGGTACTGTAGTGCATACTTTCGGACCGAAGCATACAGTCTATGCACCCAAAACCTTACACCGCAAGCCCTAAAACCCCCAGGCCCTAAACCCTCAGTACTGTACACCCTCACACCCTGAACCCAACTTAAAGGATCATGGAACTTAGTAACTAGGGTTATAATCAGGGTAACCATACTTATAACCCCAATAGAGGTACTTGTAACGTTACTTACTAAGTCCCATGAACCTCCAAGTAATGAAACCCTAAACCCGGCCTTCTGGAGAACGAGACAGACCCTAAGGCGAGTCCGCACCTGCGACGGGTTTAGGGTGTAGGGTTTAGGGTTTTCCGGATTTCTAGACGTTTTGCAGGTGTTGTCAATCAGGCATCGTGAATGTACTTTGGTAAGAACCTTATGCATTGGTTTGGTTTTCTAGACTTGTACCGGTTGGGTTTGAGCAAATTATAGAACGGTTGTTCCCAAGGGTTGCCTTGTTTGGTTTTCTGTTGCCCCTTCGTGCCAACCTACTTTTTGGTAGGCTCTTATAATCAGCCCGAATATGGGATATATAGGGAGGCTACGAAATAGTCAGCTTTGGTGGGTGAAGGTAATCTGGTGGTTTGAAACGCTTGGGCCCTTCTGGGTCAGCTGCATCGGTAAGGTGTGGTGAGGTTTGTCCGTAATGTACTTACGGCATCAGCAGACTTGCTAAGTAGGGTTGCCACCATGGGAGCTAGGGCAACAGGTAGTTGAAATGTCTCATAATCGCAAATATGGTGCGGACAGCCTTAGTTACGAGTCTCCTGATGCTCTTCGTCTGGGGCTGCTTTCACGGTATAGTCGCATTTTCCGTTTAGAGGCGTCGGGTTCAGTATTGAGAAGCAACAAGAGATGCTGTGAGGTAGAGTTTAGGGTCTAGAGCCATGAAAGTTAGAATAGGGTCTCTTTAACGGTTCCTGTAAAGGTTTCTATAGGGTTTGCTAAAAGGGTTTAGTTTAAGGACCGTAATAGTTAGAATTGAGTTCGGGGGTCCATGGTAGTATAACCGTATAAGTATACAGGGACTATGAGGAGATACTATCAGTAGGTATTCCGAGCCGAGCAGCATGCTATAGTTGTCAGTTTTCAGTTCAAGAGAGCATTTTGACTGTAACTAAAGCCCGGAGGAATGTCGGACGAAGGGGAACGCACTCCGAAGTTATAAATTTTCTTGACCTTGAATTAAAAATTTCAATTATGCAAGGACACAACACCCGGCTAAAATCAAGAGCCTCCCCTGTCTCGTAATGCACTGTGCGCTACACCTGAAACCCTGAATTACTCCCCGCCCGCAAACCGTAGGAATCTAAATGGTGAAAATTGGGGAAGCCAGCAGATAACAGATTCCAGAAAATACGAAGAGTGGATGTCACAAAACAAAACCTACAAAATATCCTTCCGCAAACCTTCTAAAACGAATAGAAGCCCTCTGAAATCCCTTTTGTAACCCTTCTACGAACTCGTTTACGAATACAGTAGAAGCCAGACAGTTGGAACGTCGTTATCCTCATTCCCTTAAGGTAAAGTAGAGGGAATCATAGCACTAATGATCCTACATCCATGTTCCAACTTTCTGGGGTTCACTATAGAACATAATAGAACCCTATTAAATCCCCTTTGCACCCACTGCACCTCGGTGTGCCAGGAAGCGAAGCACCTCACATCTGACCCATCTGCAGATCGATTTTATAATAGGCCCCCAGACAAGCACATAAGCAAAAACAAAGATAGGGATATCCCATATAAACCCCCCTTAAAAAGGAAGGCCAATAAGGCAGGGATATCCCCATAAAATGTTCATGCTTATGTGCTTTCTGGGTCCCTAATATGATGTCGAAGGTTTCGGTTTCAGGGTTTTAGGGCGTAGGGGAGCGGTTTGGGGCTTAGGGCTTAGCATTCCGGGTTTAACTCCTGAGACATGAGCGCGCCCGATTGATCTATGACCATAAATGTCTTTTCATATCCTAAGCCCTAGACCCAAAACCCTTATAGTACCCTTATAGATCCCTTTAAAGGAACCCTTGTAATCCCTTTTAACGGTACCTTCTAAGCCTCCTGATCCTCCGCTTCACGGTCTAACTGGAAGAATCCGACTCCCAATTCGTCAACCCCTACTTAAAGGATCATGGGCCTTAGTAACTAGGGTTATAATTACGGTAACTACACTTATAGCCCCAATTAATGTACTTATAACGTTACTAAGTCCCAAGTAAACCCTAAACAGCGTGGCTTTATGAGGAATGTGATGGTGGTGGTGACGTTGGACAATTACATAGGTAAAGTAGCCCGATGGCAGAGTGTTAGTAGCTTGTTCTTGTAATGATTAGTGTAAGGTTTTGGGGAATACTCTACTGAAGTTATCATAAGGAACCCTAAGGAATCATAATTGCCTACTTGTCGGGTATCATGGGGAACTCAAGGTTAACCTTTTTGGTTATATAGGGAGTATATGGGGACTATACTACCCCAAAAAGGTTAAAGGTTACCTACTCGACTACTAGGATTTAGGCTCCTACATTGCATGCCGACCTAACTCTGCTCCCTTTCTTGGGTTTCTGGCATCCGCATCCAGGTCTCCGAGACAACCGAGAACAAGGAAGTGGTCACCTGGCTTCTTCGGGGCTTTGATGGGAGGCCAACAGGGGGGTTTAAGATTCTTGGGGTAGGGATTCCTTATTATGGGAACTCTAATCCCTACTGAACCCCCATAGGCAAAAACCCTTTTGGCCTCCTATGAGGCTTGGGGATTCAGGTTTAGGGTTAGGGCTTGAAGGATTATGGGTGTAGTTTGATTTCAGACAGCGTCTGATATACCCTTAGAAAAGTTGCGCTGGAATATCAGGTTGTGTATCGTGATAAGTCTTCGCCTAACGACTTGGGACGCGTTGTCACATGCGCAGGTCTAAGATGGTTGGATTATGGCCAGATGCCCACGAATGAGCAGCTTCAGAAGCAAACGGAGTCCTGCATAAATGCAACTACAAAAACATGAATGCATGCCATGCTTGTGAGATAATTAAAAAAGGTCGTCTTGGCATTGCCGTTGGAGATTGCCGTTTTTCCCTAGCTGACGCCAAACTTTGGCTTCGAAAATGGGGTGTGGTTTAGGATTACCGGGTGAGGGTTTAGGCTTTCACATGTAAGGCTTGTTTGCTTCGTCTCCAGAGATATATTTGTCAGCCCTAAAGCATATAAACCGTAAAACCCGAAACCCTAAACCTGCCTGTTCATGACAGAGTTTCCAAAAATAGGGGACCCTAGTATAGCACCCTAAATAGTAGGATCCTCATTGTAAGGACCTCAAAATAAGGTACCCCTAAGTTTCGGAAACTCCCATATTGATGCTGGGTTTCACTTTGCTGTGTGCTAGGAGATCTCCGTTTCTGCAATGTCGCAGGTTTGGATCGTAACTGTATTCGATTGAGGGTTCACGGTTTAGGGTTTAGCGGTATTCGATGCGAGAAGTCTGCACTCGCCAGCACGGCGCATGCAAGCATCTAAGCTAGAAACTGCTTGAACAGTGTGGCAGACAAATTGTCGTCACTCGCGTCAAGGTAGGGTGATGCAGAAATCAGAATAACTAGGGCTGCGAGTACTGTTCCAACAGGTGCCATATAATCATCAAGCATTACGCTGTCGGTAATATACACCTAAAACCCTAATTATTCTAGTTGAAGAAGCCCCCCCTATATTATCCGCGGTGTCCAGATTGGAATCTTCCACTTCGGCTGGCTGAGCTTGGGGTTACTGCGAAAAGGCTCGGGAATTGGGATTGGTCTGCTGAGCCCTTACCCATAGGCTCCATAGTAGTTCCTTTTTGGGAGTACCTTATAGGATTCCAAATATGAACTATATAAAAAGAACTACTATGGAGCCTCTAGGTACCTTGCCTTCCGAGGTTTGAGGCTTCTGCGCTTTTTGTGCCAGGATGCTCTCAAAGTACACCCATCAACTGCAGCAGGTGCTTTAAAGTACACCATCTGCGTGCTGGATGCGTTCCTGAGCTGCCTCCAAGACTGGTGTGAAAGTTTCGCGAGTTCCGAGCCCGAGGTCTCACTCGATAAACAGGTTTGTGCGCACACACACACACACACGCACATTTACACATGTGCATGTATCTATATATATATATATATATATATATAATGCATCTCATACACACATGCTTACATATGCATACCGGTACATGTATGTGCTGTATGTATCTGTATGCACGCAATACAGCATGCAGGACAAGTCCCTTATTCAAGATTACTTACGGGGTGCTGGCAAACACTCATCCTTTGGTCCTCTCTGTGTCTACAGTAGAAGCCCAAAAGCTGGAAACCCCATAGCCTCAATCCTTAAGAGTAATGTAGAGGGAATCCCAGCACTATTTGGCCTTGATCCGGTTTCCAACTTTATGGAGCTTACTGTATTCTGAGGCAGTCTCGGCCCTCGAAGCCTGCCTAGAGTCTCCATTGTAGTTCCTTTTTTTGGATAACCAGTTTGAGGGTTAGGATCCTATGATATAGAGATTTTGGTTAACCAGAAAAAAGAACTACAATGGAGACTATAGGTACCTACAACCCACTCAAGACAGGTAGCCGTCTAAAAGCCTAACACGTACACCTCAGGAGCGCTTGTCGAGAAAGTCTGAGCTAAACCTCAGGTCAGGGTTTATTCATTTCGAAAGAGTTTGTGCTAAACCTCAGGACCACTTATTCCGAGACAGTTTGTGGAAACTCTCACAACCGCCATTGGCGCATTTGCGCCAGGGAGGCTCCAGGTGGCGGCTACGCGGGACGGAGGGGCTTCGAATCTAATGGTTCAGGCCCATGTTAGGATATATACATATGTACATATATATATATATATATTTATACATCTTTTCTTCGTTTTTTAAGTATGAAGTTCCGGATTCAACTAGGCTAGGGTTTACAAACTCGGTTTGGGACATAGAACTTCAATTGTTTTGAAGTTTGAGGTCTCCAGGGTGGCCACAACTCCGTCCAAACTACCGCTTACTTGAATCTTTTTGGCTGGCTCCGAGCACGAGGGCGGCTGGTTCACCTCTTCCTCGCTTTGTATCATCCACATCAACTTTGTAATGGAGATGTTTCATGGCCAACCACGAACATGCCTGCATGTTCAGGCAAGTGGCCGGCGTGGCCGGCTGGCGCTCGCTGGTATACAGGCAAGATTGCAGCACGGCTTGTACTATGAACCAAGCATGTTCACAGTAATTCATCTAGTCATCTCGTTGGTCAGCACTTGGAGTTGTGAATGCGCCGGATAAGCGTCTTCTTAACCCGGCAGCTACAGCTATCCTTCTTGAGTTCGGATTTCCCTCTTTGTCCCAGTTTTGCAGTTCTTCTGGTGCATGTTCACGATGTCCACCTGGGCAGTGCGCTCGCTGAGAATTGTACTCGAGTAGCAGAAACATGGAAAGAGAACCGCTGAATTGTTGCCAAATGAAGAATTCAGACCCTTATCTTGACTTCTGTCTTTTTGAGGATGGCGGTCAGGACAGTTAGACTTCGCAAGACGGAATGCGAAAATGAGCAGGCAGGCTTGTGCGAGGCTGTGCTCTTTCTGCCGGGTTGCGTTGGAAGGATGATGGGGGGCCATCAATAAATGGAAAAGAACTTGAATAGCAATCCTAAGGCTTATGGCCCGTGTAATGCTTGTTTCCCTCCGTCTTCCAATGTGTCGGTAGGCTTGGGCTCCGTTATTTCGCTTGGACCTACGAACTACAGCAAGGGCATGAGAAACTCTTACCAGTCTTCATGCCAAGCAGGGAATCTCTAGTTAAAGACGCCGCCGTCGACCATCACCTTGAGCCTCATCCCTAAACCCCGTCGCCAAGTAAACCCGCTGTCTCAGGTTGTCTCAACCCCAACCTTACAGTGTTCAACTACGAAAAGCTACAAGGGACGGCAATAATATAGTACAATTATACTAGAACAGGCTATACCAAAGTGTAAACTGCCCACTGGCCCAAAACCCCAAGAAAAGTTGAAACTTTCAGAACCGACTACCTTATAAGAGCCCCAAAAACTTGAAAGCAGCATCATGCATGGCCTCCGCACCCCGGGAAATGTGCGATCCCAAAATCATCCAAGCCCTCAGCCAAAGATCCCCAAAACACCGGAATAGTCCCCGAAATACGGTTTGGGGCTGCCTCGTTGGTTTCTTGCCCTGCATCCTTGTTCACAAACTCCGAACCGCTAAACATTGGCTGAGAAGGCATTGGGAGGGTGTAAAATAAGTGAACTAGCCTGGTTAACCTGTCAGCTTAGGAAACCCTACGCCCAAAAACGCTGAGCTCCTAAATTCTAGACCCTGGCAGACTGGCAGTTTCCGAAACTTAGGGGTACCTTCCCTGGGGGTCCTTAGAATAAAGATCCTATTATTTAGGGTACTACATTAGGATCCCCTATTTTCGGAAACACCCAAATCCTTGCAGACAAGTGTCTTCATACTGGTCACGCCTGACCAGGGGTCCAGTCGAGCTTTCGTGGTTGGTCGGCTTCCATAAACCCCTGAACGCTAAGCCTAAACCCTCTAAGCTCGACGCCCCAAAACCGGCAAAGGGCTCAATTAGGTTTAGGGTAGGGTAACCAAACACATCAGACTCGAACCCGTAGAAGTTGAAACTCCGAAAAACCAGGTAACCTCGACCCACTTCAACGGCCCAACCTGGTTGCCCTGTCCGTGGCTTTGATTGCAGCACAATACCTGGACCCTCAAAGTATAGATGGCTACTATCCTATCATAAGAAGCTGAGGCAATACTACATTTTAAAGGGTCTGGGTAGTGCCGAAGCCGGCCTGAACCCCTAAATCCTAAACCCTAAACCCTACAGTGGAAGCCGGAAAGTTGGAACAGGAGCAAATTGGCCCCAAGCCAAAGGTTCCAACTTTAATCTCGGAGGCCAAAGTTGGAACGTGGTCTGAAGCCCGCCAAAGGCAAAGTTGGAACCTGGCCTCCGAACCCCCAAAACTAAACTTGGAACCTTGCGGGCGCATCGAGCCACCCAGCGCACGAGGGGGGAAGTATACATATAAAGCACTTTCACGGTGTGTGTTTGAGATGCAACACTTGGGGGAAAACGACTCCGCCCTGCCCTCTTCACTATTTGCGGGCGTGGTTCTGAACGCGTCAGGATTCTCCTGCTCCCAGACCTTCCGCAGCTCCGCGAAGTGATTATCAGAATGTTGGGAGGCACCATCGGCAAGGATCAGGGCTGGTGCCGAAGCATGGAGCTTGTAACGCGCGCTGCTTCGACTCCACCACCAAAATCTCGAGGTATGCGATGGCGGTTTCGCCACGCCACATGTGGGTGTTGTGACGCGACCGCGTGACGACTTCAAACGCACGCAGCTCCTGTGCCTCCGCCAGCTCCTTCTCCGAGATGCCATCCTTGGCAAACGTGATAAACAGGCGTCCCAAGTCGCCGTTATGCAAGGAGAACGTTGTGGTAGTGCGTGGCTGCCGCCAGTTTGCCACGGCATCTACCTGGGAGTACCCATCATCCTCCTTGTTGCGCTGCGGGCCGCCGTCCTGCACAGCTGCATCCTGCAAACCCAGTTCCACACGAAGTTGCTCCGCCAAACGCTGGCGCCGGAACCACTTGCCGCGACTCCGGAGAGGATCCTTCATGGCACCTTGACGACCAGGATCCTTCCAAATGATGCGAGCTGCTGGCTCGTACGCAGTGGTCCAGACTTGGTCATGATGGTGTGCCTTCCCTGACCGGACCATCTCGTTGACGTAGTCTTTCATGCGTTTGATTGCTGGGGAGCTGGCACTCAAATGCTTTCCAGGCTTCGACTGCCGGCAAACCTGGAAATCGCACTTGTGCAGGAAATGGTTTGCATTCTGGGTCTTGCCAACATCAATGTACGGCACACCTGGCAGCTGCGGGCAGCGCTTCTCGTGGTCCTGAACCACTTGCTGCATGGCTTCGGGCGGGGTCTCCTGTTTTGCCAGGTGCGCAAGAAACGGAGGCCGAAGACATGCACAGAAATGCCGGAGAACAGCGCAAAATGTAAAAGGAATGGTCTGCACAACGAAAGGTTCGCGGAGGGGTGGGAACAGCAATGGGTGGGAACAGCAATGTGAAAGGAATGGTCAGCACACCGAGAGCGTTGAGAAGGGGTCTGAACATCATGTAATCACGGAGAAATGCCTGTTTCACCTTTGATTCCAACTTTGACAACTCAACCCGAAGTTGCAACTTGTCAGTGCAGCTTTCAACTTTGGATTTTTTCAGACAAGCTTGGAACATGTCCAGCCAGAATGTTCCAACTTTGGAACGAAATACCAAACTTGGAACTTGCAACCCCTTGGAACTTGCAAGTACTCCCTCATGGAGTGCTGCATGCTAGGGCGCGCTTGTTCCAAATTTTTGGCGTCCACCATAAACCCTAAACCCTACTAAATCCTAAACCCTAGCCCCTAAACCCTTTTCTACAGCACATCGATCCGATAGCTTCAGCCTTTCCTGTCCCGAGGGAATTGGTTTTGAGATTCTCGAAGGGCAGGACATAGAAAAAAAAACTGGCGACCCCTGATGACACTTGAAACGACGATCTAGTCTAGGGACCTTCGTAATTTTCATAAATACTAGAGTGCAGCTATGGTTATATGGAGACTTTATGCGGATCTATCACTACTTCTTCCAGCCGCTGTGATCTCAGCCCGGAACTGAAACCATGAACACCCTCTGGGAATAAGACGGATTTCGCCCTCAGCCTTATCCCTAGAGCCTCAGAGTTCAGCAGGGTTTTGGGGTTGAAGTATCCTTAGCTGGGTAACCAATCCGCACTTACGGGACTGCGGGTTTGCCGATTGGGTCGCCGTGCCCAGCGCAAGTCAGCGGGCTTGAAGGTCGAGGGTGGGAGGGTTTAGGGTTGAGGGTTTACCCTAAACCCTAAACCCTAAACCCTAAATCCTAAACCCTAAACCCTAAACCCGGGTTTAGGGCTTTCAGAGTCTTCGCGGGCTTTACGGTTCAGGCTTGATCCCTGACAAACCCTAAGGCTCCATGTGCCCATATAGTGTATACTTAGGCCATAAAGTACCCATATAGGGACCTCTTTTAAGGCTAACGTATATACTATACATGTACATGGAGCCTTTGACACATGGTTCAGTATCGACTCGACCACTCTCCTTAGCCCTGCAGAGGGATGGAAGCTCGAGCTTGCACCGTAGTTCATCAGGGTTTTGGGCGCTGGCCCCGCGAATGCAACAGTTCCCTCACAAGACTTCACATGCTTATAACCCCAAGGGTCCAAGTACCCAACAATCATATACCCTCCCAAATACTAACCTACATAACTACTATCCTAAAACCGAGGACTTGTTTATTGGGTCCTTTGGACCCCTGGGATAACCATCCAAAACCCACTGCCCTGTGAGAGTGCCAAAGCCTGAAGCCTAAAAACTGAAGCCCTGAGCCCTCAACCATACGAGAATACCCAAAACCCTGTTCTAGCTGTTCAGGCCCCTTTGCTATGCACTCTGAACCCTACCTGTAGCCGAAAAGACCTACCTTTCTAGGGTTCCTTATTATGGTTTCTATATATATATATATATATATATATTTTTTTTTGTATGTCTATAAATATATATATATATAGAGAGAGAGAGAGTTCCTCAACAAGGTAGGTCTTTTCGGCCAAAGGTAAACCTAAACCTTCGGGAATTCAAAGCACTGAAGGACCTGATCGTGCACTTGACGACGGAGATGCCAGCAGCTCGGGCTTCCTCCGATGCCAAGGAGCTCTTAAAGGATCATGGGACTTAGTAACTAGGGTTAGAATTAGGGTAACTTTACTTATAACCCCAATGAAGGTACTTATAACCTTACTTACTAAGTCCCATGATCCTCCAAGCTCTCTCAACAAAAAACCTCAGAGCCTCAAGCCCTACCTGGACTATTACTACGTACGGTATAGCAATGCTACTTTGATATCGTATCAATAGTTTAATGAAAAACAAGAGTCTATTATAGTATTAATTTTAATACTACGATATAGTAATAGGACCCCTAAACCCTACCTATAGTCTCCAATGTAGTTCCTTTTTTGGAGAACCAGGTTTATGGTTAGGGCCCTATAATAGGGATTTTTGGTTAACCAAAAAAGGGACTACTATGGAGACTGTAGGTAAAGAAGCTTTGATTTGACTAGAACAAAGGTTTTCGGGAGTAGCATGAAGAGTACAAACTGGACTGCAGCCCTAAAGCCTCGATTCGAGCAGAGTTTGGGGGAGTCGCATGAAAAGTATAACCCCTAAACCTTGAATCTGAGTCCTTCCACGGCCTCTATTCCTGAAGCCGTCCATATCCACTAAGCATTCAGTGGGGGGCTTCAGGGTCAAGGCCTTAGGTATCTCTAGGCCCCAGAACTGTTGCAACTCCCTTTAACCCTTAATTGTTTGCGGGCGCTTTCACACCTCGGGCCGTAGACTTTCGGTGCTTCTCACTCCAAAACACCCAAGCTTGTTAAGTCTTATGTTATGACCTATGCATAGTTACACAGTCTCTATTCGCTGCGTTTGGTACCTTGTTCTGTTGCACCTGCTTTGTCTTCACTTGCCTTGTTCCATCACTTGGTTTCGCTATCTTTTATTGTCAAGGATCGTCTCATCTTGTCGGTTCAAGGCTCAGAGGTTTAAGACTTACGCAGGGTTGATGTAAGGTATGTCGCGAGTTTCAGTTTATATACTTAGCAGCGTGACAAGGTCCTTCAAATCCTGCGTCAAGCTTCCGAGGATTCAGCCGCATGGCTTGATAAACACGAGATCTAGGGTTTCTGGAACGGCTGTGTAGGGATCCCGACTTCCAGTGAAGGCTTCATCCCATGTCTCCAAACTTCGAGCCCCAAGAAGAGGCCTGAATAAATAGATTCTGGTGCTGCGGAAAAGTTTTCTTAAGTATGCATGGACTACTCTGGATCAGTATTTCTGGTTGTTAACACCAAGGATTTGTCCCAGACTCTTTCAATTTGGCATCCACGTCTTCGGGGAAGTCCCACCACCCGCCTGCAAAGAGCCAGCATTGAGGGCTGCTTGGAGGCCCAGGGAACTTAGTAAGTAGGTTATAAATACGGTTATAAGTACCCTAAATGGAGCTGCCCCAAATATAACCCTACTTGTTACCTACTTACTAAATCTCCTGACCCTTGATGTGGGGATTTACTTACTGTACCCACAGGCCTCAAAGTAGTTCCTTTTTGGGGTTACCTTATAGGATTCTTCAGCTCTTCGTTTCTGGGTCCGAATACGGGCCCTCAAGCTGAGAAAGGGGCAACGTTATCAGTTGCTCAGCCAGTATTGAGCCCTGAAATGCTTCCACAACTCTTTGAGGGGTGCTTCTGGGTCGTTGATAAACCCTAAACCCTACAGAAGGGTGCTTGTGAATCGTTGATGGCTGTCTCCATCGTGGCGCTTGCAAGCCCGAACTAGAGTTTAGGGCTTTTAGGGCCCTAGGTTTTATTTGGGGATTGGGGCTTTTCGGGTTCAAGGGTTTTTGGGGTTGCGGTGCTTGGGGCTTAGTTAGGGCTTCCGGATTTGAAGTGGCTATAAGGTTTTTAGGGCTTTTGGGAGACGCAGGATCTACATATATATATATATATATATATATATATATATATACATACATACATATATATACATATATATATATATATATATATATATATATGGTCACGCGCTCCGCAGCCCCCCCCCCCCTCCCCCCCCAAAGGTCAATGGTCCGGATGTGGGGTGGGGCCCCCCCTCCCCTGTGGTGTGGGGTGTGGGGTTCCTCTTCCCCCTGTGGGGTGTTTGTGGGGTTTTGGGGTTTAGGGTTTGGCTTAAGCTTTTGAGTTTTGGGTTTACGGTTACAAGGTATAAGGCTTCGAGTCGACAAGGGCTTAGGGCGGATTTGCGGTGTACGCTCTGCTTTAGGCTTAAAGCCTGCAGTCAGGTGGGGTTTAGGGTTGGGTGTAGCGTTTTAAGTACAAGTTAAGGTTGCTCAAAACAGGGGCACGCGCTGCGTTAAAGGGTCTACAGCTTGCTTGCGAAGGGCTTGCGCGTGAGCCCTGGCCGCCAGCACCACCCCACCATCCGGTGGCAGCTCCAACGGCCCCCAACCATTTCCGCGCACGCCAGGGCCCCCCCCCCCCCCACCCTATCAGACCATACCATTGGGGGGGGAGGGGGGGGGGGGCTGGGAACGCCAGACGCCTGACCATATATATATATATATATATATGTGTGTGTGGGTGGTTGTCAAAGGGTCCCTTTGGGTACCCTAAATACCATCCATATAATCTATATATATATATATATATACATATATATATAGATATACATATAGCACTGTTGCGGGTACGGCTGGGGGTTGGCCTTGTGCTGATCGTGGCTCTGCGTGTCAACAGCAAGACTAGTATTGAAAACTACTGGCGTCTTTTTAACGGGCTTAACTTGTTTAAGTTGTCAACATAGGGCTCTAATCACAGTACTTATTAGGGTCTAACGATTACGGTAGCTTTAACTATACCCTACACCCTAAACCCTAAAACTCTGTATGAGGCACGCAGATTAGTGTCTGCTGGGTCTACTTATAACCCCAAATTAAGGTACTTATAACCTTACTAAGTTCCATGATCCTCCATTATAGAACCCTTATAGATCCCTTTAAAGATCCCTTCAAGGGGCCCTTTATGATAGACCCCTACAGTACCCTTAAAGGGCCCCAAACTGAGCTCAGCTCCCTGCTCGAACCCGAGACTTCGCGCCTTTTCCATTGGAGACCTGCCACTTGTAGGGCTTCTCGGCTTCCACCTGCTCTCGCTCACTAGCAGAGATTCTATAAGGAAGTCTGCCGGTTTTTAGGGTTTTGGGGTTTCGGATTTATGGGTTCTACGGGTTTAGGTTCAAGTTTAGGGTTTCGGTTTAGTGCTTGGGTCTTGGGCTAGGGTTTGGGGTTTAGGATTCTCCAGGCTGGAGGGTAACGGAGACCCTTTTCTGCCAGGGCATGGTTGAACCCGAATCCCTACTTGACACAGAAGGTCTTGCGAAGGCAAGGGGGTTATAATCCATGGGTCTGCACGCAGTGCATATGTTGCGGTTGATGTAAAGAGTATAGAGCTTCCAATGGAAAACCAGGATCTATCTTCTACTGGGAGCAACCGGAATCCAGGCAAAAGTCTCTCTCTCTCTCTCTCTCCTTCTCTTCGTCCCTCTGTCCCTTGACTCTCTTTCCCTCCCTCTCGCTCTCCCTCCCTCAACTCTCAACTACTCATGCGCCCTGAACCAGGACCGCTTAACCCTGACTCCTACACCCCAAACCCCGAAACTCCGGAATCCTGACAACCTCCAAACCATGATTCTCAGGCACCAAATCCTACACCTAAACTTAAGCCCCCCGAACCCGAGCAGCACTTGCATAAGTACCTGTCCTAGAACCCTGCGAGGAACCCTTGAACTTGGGTACTGCCCCTCACTCCGTACCAATCTATATTAAGGGTCATACTAAAACTGTAGATATACGTATATTACGACAACTATCCAACCGTTGCAGGAGTCGGGGGCAGCACCCGATCCTAAACCCTCCGCCCTGCAGCGTCGGATTTCCCACCTCTTCCTCGGCCCCGCCGTCTCCGGCCAGCGTGCTGATGGGAACTTCCACCTGCTTCAGGTTCAAGTTTCAGGGCTCAGGGTTTGGGACCTAGGAGGGTTTAGGGCTTAAGGGTTCAGGGTTTAGGACCTTGGAGGGTTCAGGGGTTTAGGAGGGTTGAGGGCTTAGGGTTTGGGGGTTTAGGCCTCAGGGTTTAGGGCTTCGGGGTTACGGATTAGGGTTTAAGGTTTTAGGGTTGCACGGTTTAGGGTTTGAGGTTTATGATGAGAGCCTCCACCTACGCCAAGGCCGGGGGGTGGGGGTTCAGGGGTCAGGCCTTATCGGGTTTGAGAGCCAGGGCTTGATGGAATCATGGGCCAAGGCCTACCCAGACACTCCAACATTCCTTAATTGAGGAATATGCCTTAAATAATACTGGGGATCCTACTATAATTCAAGGTATATTCCTTAATTAAGGGATATTGGAGTCTCTGGGTATGGGCTGCAGGATCAAAAGTTTAGGGTTCGGGGTGTTGGGCTTGGGGCTTGGAGGTCGGGGCTTACGGTTCTTGACGGGCTCTTTAACATTATTATGCAAAGCTTCTACAAGGCTTCTCTGCAAGGGCTCGATTGATCGAAATATTGTATAAACATGTGCACACACACATACAAAAGCTAAGACACATGCAAACAGCGTGCACTGCTGGTAGAAGCTTGAACCGTTTGCAGACGTGTTGTCGACAATGGTTGATGTGCTTGCAGATGTGAGGCGATGCGGACGACAGTGAACAATGGTGGTGAGGAGGATGACGAGGGCAGTGACGATATGATGTATCGGCATGTATGCAAATGAAAAAGTTTACTAAAACAAACAAGCTCTTCCACTGCAGACACCGTCGGCAAACAGGAGTCCGCGCGCACACGCACACAGAGACACAAAGTGGCAGGACGATGCAGAACGCTCGTGACCTCCTGTTTGCGCGGTCGGCCGCTATGCGCTCGCACACGTGAACACTACAAAGTGGAAGGCTTGTGGCTTGATGTGGCTAGAGCTTGCAGTTGCAGATGCGTGTAATCGTAGATGTTGAACCCCCCAAGCACAAGTTTGCTAAGCAGTGAAACGTGCACCTCCTGAATCGTCCTGGTCGTGCCAGTTTTCAGGTTCTTCTGCGTCATCTCCTCATCAGCTCTTCTTAGTGAGCAGGCCTACAGGTCCCACGCGAAAGGCGATAGTCAAGAGCAGCGAGTCTAAGCGAACCAGGGCTCTGACTCCAGTATAAAGGAGCCTTAATGAGGGTTTGGGGGGTATATGATAAAGTACTGTATGTTTAATCGAAGTACTACTACTACTACTGCTGCTGCTGCTGCTACTACTACTACTGCTGCTGCTGCTGCTACTACTACTACTACTCCTACTCCTACTCCTACTCCTACTCCTACTCCTACTCCTACTACTACTACTACTACTACTACTACTACTACTACTGCTACTGCTACTGCTACTGCTACTGCTACTACTACTACAACAACAACGCCTACAACTGCAACTACTACTACTGCTGCTACTACTACTACTACTACTACTACTACGCCTACAACTGCAACTACTACTACTACTACTACTACTACTACTACTACTACTACTACTACTACTACTACTAGCACTACTACTAGCACTACTACTACTACTACTACTACTACTACTACTACTACTACTACTACTTCTACTCACTACTACTCACTACTACTAGCACTACTACTACTACTACTACTACTACTACTACTACTACTACTACTACCACTACTACTACTACTACTACTACTACTACTACTACTACTACTACTACTACTACTACTACTACTGACTACTACTACTACTACTACTACTACTACTACTACTACTACTACTACTACTGCTACTACTACTACTACTACTGCTACTACTACTACTGCTACTACTACTGCTGCTACTACTACTACTACTACTACTACTACTAGTACTACTACTACTATTACTACTACTACTACTACTACTACTACTACTACTACTACTACTACTTCTACTACTACGACTTACTACTACAACTACTTCTACCAACAACTCAGACTTCTATGATTCATGATTTTTACTATTCTGGCGTATATATTAAAGACACGATGCAGGCTCTGTATCAAAAAACTATGTCCCCTGAACCCTTATGCGACCCTGAAAAAAGTGTACCCGGCCCCGTCAAGACCTCTTGTATGGAGGCCTTAATAATCACGATACAGTTCTGAGGTATGCTATAGCAAGTTAAATGCAAATGCACTAGAAGAAGATAATATTATTCCCTAAACTCCAAGAACTTACAGTCTAGTGTAAGTATATACAGAACATGAAGAGACGATGCGAGAGCACTGCAGTGTCACTGATAATTCCGACCGCTAAACCCTTAAGCAAAACTCTAAACTCTGAAACACTGCACGCTTCACTCTAAAACCCTAAACCTTAAGCCTAAACCATAAAACTCTCAACCTCAAAACCGTATAGGCCCTAGCTCGCCAGGCCAAGACCGCACGAGCCTCCGGGTTCCTTTAAAGGGTCCCTTCCTTTAAATTTCGTGTGGAGGGTTCCTTTAGGGGCTACTATAAGGGTACCATAAGGTGTAGAGTTCTCTGAAAGCTTTACTGTTCAGGCGTTAATGATTCAGGGTAAGGGCACTGTATGGGTACTATAAGGTGTACGGTTCAGGGTTTAGGGTCCGGGTTTTAGGGTTGAGATGCACAATACCTGGTAGAGCAGCGATTGCAATTATCAGACATGAACGAATAGAGTGTCCATGCCTCTACCCCCTAGATGTACATTAGTATAGACAAACACACGTCTGTGCACGGTCTTCGTTTCTTCAAAGACATAACAAAAGAAAGCTGGTGTGCCAGGGCGTCCTTCAAGTCAATCTCGTAGGGGAATCCGCGCGCACGGAAGTGGATCACCGTCTCGCCTTTCTTGCTTAGGGTTCCGGCTTCTGGGCTTTTGCCACTCGAAGTGTTGAAGAGAGGGTGCAGGGCTTTCAGGGTTTAGGGTTTAAGCGTTTCGGGTTGGAGGAGCGAGTAGACGAGTAGTCAGAATTAGAATAGGGATTTTGGGGTTGTTCGTAAGTAGTCTATTTATGCAGGCACTATGTGGGGATACTGCGTCTTCGGATCTCGGGATACGTCCACTTCTGCTGCCTGCAGCCCATCGAACCCGAACAATAGTTAGGGAGCTCTTCCATCTTGAATCATGAACCTGCTGTCACTGCATGTCACTGCTAGGTGCAAGTCTTCACAGACAGACTGTTGCGTATCATCAGAAAAGCAACAGTACTAAGGACTCCTAATCATGTGACACAGCACTAAACCTGCACAGAGCCCATAGGCTACAAAGCAACAGTAGCACTGTGTGTACTACCTGTGTGCTCATGTTCCGCGAGGTAAGTCTGACCCTGAAGCCCGTGCTGTCACTTCCGACGGAGTATAGAAAGAATGCAGCGGAACCCGAACACTGCTTCCCTTGGAGTCTTGGGTGGTTGGGAAGATGTCCCAAAAGAAATGCAGTCGTACACACAACCTATATACCACCTCAAACCCTCAACCCCAAAGGCCCCTCAACCCCAAAGGCCCCTAACCCTAAACCCAAACCGAACCAAGAGTCTGGTTTCTGCAAATAACTTTGGCTACGAAAGCACGGACCGTTATTAGAGGAATCCTGTTTCGTAGAGGCTTTGAAGAGGAGGGGGTACTAATCAAGGTAAATATGAATGATCAGGGTTTAGGTTTTACTTCTCCGAGCTCGCAAAGCTACTGCAGAGGCTTTGATGCTTTAAAAACTTGGTTTTGGGTACAGTACATTATACCATGGTTGTATCAAGGAACACTTTGCCAAATATCAAGGCTCCTGCATTACTCGCCCTACTCCGGGCCTTTCTCTGTGGCCTTGCGCAGTTCCAGTTGCCGCTCCGCTGCCAAATCTGCCCAGTCTCCTTGTCTTACCCAAAATCACCTAAACCCACAGCCCATAACCCACAAAAACGAAACTCTCGAGACAAAGGTTCAGAGAAAGCTACAGGTGGAAAGGCTTGAAAACATGCAACAAAGCCTGTCAACCTTCAAGACCAGCAAGCACCATCACAAATGTCATCCTCGTCCTCACCCTCACCGTCACCCTCCTCCTTTTCCTCCTCCTCCGCCTCCTCATCGACAAGATCGTGGTCGTCATCCCCATCACCATCACACCAGCCATATCGACACTGAGTAGATATCAGAACCTTCACCAGCATACTTAGCATCGTCTGCTTCCTCCTTCTCCTCCTCCTCGCCCTCCTTCTCCTTTCCATCGCAAACATGAGCCTTTTCGGTAATCATGCGGATTCTGCTTCTCATCGCCGTCGTGATTCTGATTCTAGTACTGCTACTGCTGCTGCTCCTGATGCTGCTGTCACGACGAATGCTACTACGACTACGATCTCCACCACCGATGACGACGACGACAGCGACGACGACTACTGACACTACGTACTGCTGCTACTACTATGCTAACACAGTACTACAGGCCCACTTTCCGCCTACTAGTTTGTATCTCTTGCGAACGCCCTGGGCGCCAAACCTCGAACCTGAAGCCTGAACTCCAAACCTTAAACAGTCTGGCGTGGCTCCAGCATCGTTGAGTTGAACCTGCCACTTTGTCAGCTTCAACGACAGCGCCTGCAACCTGAGCCGTAGTCGCAGTTGCCAAGTTTTCGCAGATGGTTCTTGTGAGGTTGCCGGAAAGCTACGCCAAAGTGGCAAACACGAGATGACTCAAGCATCATCATAAATCAAACCCTGCATGTTTTAAACAGCACAGTACTGGCAATGATGCATCACATACTGGACTCTGAGCCCATCGGAAACACTCAGAATATCAAACCCAAAGGGCAGTTTCCGAAAATAGGGGACCCTTATATAGTACCCCTAAATAGTAGGATTCTCCTAAGGACCCCAAAATACGATACCCCTAATTTTCGGGAATTCCCAAATATGCTCTGAAAACTTTTCGGGCCTGGGCCCGCTACTGATGTAGGGGCCGTAATAATTAGAACCAGCGTTTAGGGTTTAGGGTGACTCTAATGAGGAACCCCCCAAATAGTATAGGTAATGTTTTAGGCCCCTTTACTACATGGTTTCGGCGGCAGCACTGCCGGGGGACTCGGAGCTTCCTTCCCCTTGACTCATGGCTTAGCTCTTCCCAGTTTCGGGCCTTAAAGATGGGAATAGGGTTTTAGAGTATGTTTAGGGTTTAGGGTTTAGGGTTGTGATACAACAGTTATAAGGGGACGATACGGGTATACTTTTGGTAATTAGTGATGACCCCAAGCAATTACAGCCAGAGTCCAAGAGCCCGAACGGATAAACCCCCTGAGCCAGGCTGGCCGAGGCACACGTAGCAGAGAGCGGTGATGATCTGTGGATGATCTTGCTTCTGATCCCACACATATCTGGCGGCTTCCTGCCATCAGCTCGAAGGAATTTTAAGTTTGGAGCTCAGGGCTTTGAGGTTCAGTGTTCAGGTCGGGGCTCCGGTAATCCCCTAAGACTCCAATGTGCCTTAACTACGGAATATACCTTAAACTATAGTAGGAACTCTAGTATGATTGAAGGAAAATTGAATATTCCTTGTTTCAGCGATGGTCAGTCGGTGGGTTAAGCTTTGGGATTTAGGAATCTGGCCCCCGAATTTTAGGGTCAGGGTTTGGTGTGTTTGTTGCCCTCCTCCATGTCATTATTCGGAAGGAACTGTTCTAGGGTTGAAAGGTCCCGTTATCAAGGTGGTGCATCATACGGTTTTAGGCTTGGGACTTAGGGTTTCAGCTTCAACTGTGGAATTCTGAAATTCGCCACAGGAACTTAGCTGGATGCAACCATGCAGGTGAAACCCACGGCACACATCCAAACCCAGAAATCTGAACCCTAAGCCTGTTACTCTACATCAAAGACTTGAACACCTCATTTGTAGCCTGAATCAGGACAGGTGTGTGTGCACAGGCATAGTAATCTGGGGACTGTCAGGATGAGCATACGCTTGTGACGCATTAATGTGTACTTATACTTACAGTAAGGTATGCGCAGGGATCATATAACAATCTAGGGTTCCTTGTGCGGTTCATCAACATGCAGTGCACCAGCCTGGAAGTCAGCCCCCGACAACTTTGGAAGCGTTGCCGACCGCGCGCCCTTGACCTCGAACAACGTAAACGGTACAATTTAGGGTGCAGGGCTTCAGGTTTGTTCTAAAGGGTACTAACCATTCACTCCACTTAAAGATTGTAGGGGTTTGGGGTCAATGGTTTGGCCGTGTTTAAGGCGTCGGGATGACATGTAGGACACACAAGCAACAGGCTGCATCTTGCATGAACTTCGACGATTTAGCTGGCATCGGATTGCTGCCCACTCGCGACACGACCACTTCTCATGAACCGTGCTGTAGGGGCCTTAACAATTAGAATTGGGTTTTGGGGCCATTCTACTATAGTTATACCAAGGAACCACCAACATGGTAAAGGTAAATATTATAACCCCTATAGTAGGTAAAGTCAACCGCCACAAGCCGCCTAACCCAAACGGCTTAATCAAACTCTGAACAAGACCTAAATCCGAAACCAGAACTATGTTCACTCCTCCTTGGATACAACGTTTCTGCAAATCCCACTTCCCAACTTGCTTTGCCATGCTGCCAGGCTCGCCAATAGGAACACTCCTAGGACGGCAATCGCTATCTGGGAGTAGAGGTTCTTTCTCGGGTTTGGTAGAGGTTAGAGTCGAGGTACCGTAATGAGAATCAGGCTTAAGTAAGGAAGATGCTGGATACTTCTTGTTATTTCGACTTCGATGGGGGAGCAGCTTAGTGATTCCGGGCTTTGCGAACCAAGGCAGCGAAGTCGTGTGCACGTGAGCTACATGAATTCAGAAAACTTATAGCAAGATCCTCCCTTCTGTGTGCGACGACTTGATGATACATGCATCCAGCCAGACGCTCAATTTACAGTGACATCGTCGAAGCTGGCGGTTGGGACGACCCTGCCTTAGCGTAAACATACCCCATACCTTCCAACGTCCTCGAAAGCTACTTAAAGGACCATGGGACTGAGTAACTAGGGTTATAATAAAGGTAACTCTACCTATGGGCACTTATGACCTTACTTACCAAGCCCCATGATCCTCCAAGTAGAACCCCATCCCTCGGGGTGCAGGCACGGCTTCACGCATTTGCGGGCAGGGTGCCTGAAGCCTCTGTGGCTCAGGAAGGCCACAGGATAATAGTATAGAGGCCTTAATAACTACCTATGCCATTTCGGGGTTCCTTATTATAATTAGTCTGGTATAACCCCAAACCCGATTCTACTGATTCTCATGAGCATCTCCCAGCACATCTTCATCCTCACATTGACTTGCATCATCATCTTAGAGGGAAGATCCGGGCCCGGGCCCATGGAAGGAGCAGGGGACTGCGTAAGTGAGGTCATAGGCCATTACTTTTGGGCCCGAACTATGTGCAGTTGTTTGCTTTCGTCCCCCGATCATCTGTATACCATTTTATTACATTCCTTCACCATAATATCTACAGCCTGCGCTCAATCTTAAACTCACGCCTTCCGCAGCTGGAACATCCCCAGCTTGGAATCAAGCAGCCCAGCTCGACCATTGTGTGGATGGGATCGTCATCCCCAGCAGCCGTGACCTGGGAGAGAGTGTATGGCTTTACAGATGGTGCTGCGTAGTTTAACTGGGTTGTGCTTTAAACCCTTTGAAAATTATTTATGAATAGGTTCCCTTTACAAGGAAATAAGGGAAATTAAAAATTATCCCAAAGCACAACCCAGTTAAGTATGCTTGTGGGAGATCGCACGAAAACACGGGGTTCTTGCACCGCAACCCAGCCCACGACGCCTCGAAGCGCGGGTAAGTTTCACGAAACGCGGATTCCCCACACGTGTCAGCCGTGGAGAGAGTTTAGTTTTCAGGGTTTCGGCAGAAAAGCCATCTCGATGTTGCATGTCCTGCATAAGAAACCTAAGTGATGCATTGCGGATCAACGAAATCCAAACATGATGCGAGCCTGGCCCAAGCCGGCTATGCTTGCTGCTTCATGAAATCGTGTATCCAGCATCCATGGTTATCCGAGCCCTACTTGCACATGCGGAAGACTTGGAAGCCCTCAAATCCTAAGGCCTACAAGCCATGCTTAGAAGCTCGAAGAACTTCCAAACTCGGCCATCATAAACCAAAGCGCCTCACAAGACAAAATCAAACGAAGCGCCTTAGTCTTCATCTGCGAGATCTCTGCGAGGATGGCTGTCGACATCTCCACGGCACCGGCAGCAGCGGCCTTCTCGGGATGCCAAAATCCCTCGGGGAGATTCCAGAAAAGGGGGGGGGTGCCGAAGGAGTTCGTAACGGACTCTAGAGGCTTCCGTAAACCCCAAACCCTAAGCCGTACTTGGAGGATCATGGGACTTAAGTAAGTAAGGTTCTATGTACCTTAATTGGGGTTATAAGTATAGCTGCCCTCTGTATAACCCTAGTTACTAAGTCCCATGATCCTTTTGAGTAGGCTTGCACAAAGGCTGCACAAGGCTTCGGGGCTCCAGGGTTCAAGCTTTAGTGCTACAGTGCTACAGAGCTTTGGAGTCCATGGGACTCCCCCGCACCATGAGCACATCAAGTGTCACCCAAAGGGTCCATATGCAATACCATTATGAAATGAGGTCCCCAAAACCAAAATCGCGAGGGTTTTTTCGGACCAAACTCCATAACGGTAGTGTATATGGGCCCTCTGGGTTAAGATCTGAGCTTCGAGTTATGGGTTGAGGCGGAATGGCAAGAACGACTCTTTCGAGCACATGCAACATGCGTCTCCAACATTCCGGAGCTTCACATATCTATGGATGAATGGACTTAGTAAGATAAGAAGAAAGCAAAGCTGCCGGCATGAGTCTTTCAACAGTTTGCAGAGAGCTCAGACAACACTGTCGGCCTTGAACTGCCCTCGGAAACTTTTGTTAGAATATGAATTTGACAGCACTCTATGAAAGCTCTGTCAAAACCCTGTACATTGTAAAAAAACTTCATAACTTGGCTTACTGTGTCGACTACGTCTCCTAATCCGGTAAAGGAAACAAAAACCCTGAACCCAAATTCTAAACCCCAAAAGACAGCAAAACCCTAAACCCAAATCCCAAAAGCCAGGTAACCCTAGAACCCCCAACCCTAAACCCCTAAACCCATAAACCCTAAACCCTGAACCCGTTTTAACCCTTTTCCCTCTGCTCCCCGCGCACCTCTGCAGGGCCCGCGCGCAGGCCGCGCGCCAGCGCCAGGCGACGGAGCCGGTGGCTCTGGGAGGCCATCGCCTTTGGGGCTTAGGGGCTTAAGGGTTTAGGGCTCCTTTAAGGGATCTATAAGGGTTCCTTCAAGGGATCTATTAGGGTTCCTTTAAGGGATCTGTTAGGGTTTAGGGTTTAGGGGTTCCTTTAAAGGGTTCCTCTTAAAGGGATCTGTAAGGATTACTAGAAGGGTGTTTGGGGCTTAGAGGGTTTAGGGTTTATATAGGTTGAAGGGCTTAAGGGTTTAAAAAGGGGTTCCTTTAAAGGGTACTGTAAGGGCTCCTTGAAGGGATCAAAAGGATTTAGGGTTTAGGGGTTTAGGGCTCCGGGTTTAGGTTTAGGGGTTAGGGTTTAGGATTTTCTGGGCGATTAGGGTGTTTTTGTTTAAGTGGTTAGGGTTTAGTGTTTTGCGGTTTAGGGCTCTATCAGATGGTCCTGATACCTGTGTAGACGACGAAGTATCATCTTGGTCTGGTCACAGTGTCATGTATGATGGGTTGTCAACGTGTTCCTACGAGTTTTGTCTTGCCCAGATGCCACGAAGAGGAACACTGCGACGTTCAACCCCCTCAATGCCCTACCTGGATACTCGAGGCAGTATCAACAAATAGCCCTTCTTGTAAGGAAATAATGACGAACTCCACGAAGAAATACACTGCAGTGTATACACTTAAAACACAAGCCCCAACCAAAGCCCCAATCCCAAACCCGAAGCCCCGCACCACAAACCCCCCCCAAAACCCCAACCACTCACCAGCGAACCTTAAAACCCTAAACCCCGCACCTCAAACCCCACATACCCAAACACTAACCAGCGAACCTTCAAACCCTGAGCCCCACACCTCAAACCCCACAAAACCCAAACACTCAGCAGCGAACCGTAAAACCCTAAAGCCCTGCGATTCGTTCGTGAGCCCGGTCGGGTCGGCCAAGCTTCGAAGTCGATGACTTTTCGAAGGTCGTCCTTGCAGACAGTGAGGCTCTGGGGGTTTTAGGATTCGAGGCTTACGGTTTGGGGCACAGAGTTTAGGGTTTAACGGTTACATAGCCCTTCATCCCCAAAAAACCCTGAACGAAAGCCTAAACCCTAAACCCCTAAACCCTAAACTCTAAACCGAATCGATAACTAGAGTCAGCTCTCAAGATCTTGAGCGCTGCCCCGCAGATTCGACTCGCAGGCTCGCGGCCCAAGATTCTGTGTTTAACCGTCCCTCAAAAGTCAAATACTTGTGAACCACCACGGAACACCCACCCCCAAAAAAAAAAATATATATATATATATATATATGAACAAATGAAAATAAAAGCAACACAAAAACTGAAAAGCCTGAAACCAAAACAGATGAAAACCATGAGCCCGAAAACCTCAACTCTAGACTTCCAAACCATGCAACCTGCTGCATAAGTTTTTAAAAAACATAGGTTTTAGGTTTTTCCAAAAACCAGAAAAACATCTCAAGCATCCGTCGTTCAGCACGGAAATCTACAGTTCCTGCCTCCTGGCTTGTGCTTGGTGGGTAGCTACAAGGCTATAAGTGGGGTTATGGGTCCCCTAATATGGGCTAAAATTTTGATTGACCTACTTGTGATCACACTTACAAGTATAACTAATTACCCATGAACCTCCCACAGTGGTCCTCGCTGGACGACAGCGCCACCAGCTCTGCCCATTTCTCCGGGAACTCGCGCCAGACTGCTACTGTCTTGGCGAGATACCTTGAAATTCGAGGAGCTGTTGGCCGTTAGGTTTAGGATGTAGGGGTGTATAGTGGCTTAGGCTTAGGGGTTTGGGGTTGCAGGTTTAGGATTTGGGGGTGTGAGGATTTACTGTCCGGGCTTCAATAAGGCTAGCTACAATGGTTCTCCGATACTGGAAAGTTCACTTTGGCGTACGGCCGAAACAACCAGAGGTTTAGGATCTGGGGTAAACGGTTTAAGGTTAAGGATTTTAAGGTTCAGGGCTCAGAATTTGGGGGATGAACCACCATATGGGGATGCATGGTAGAAGGTTCAGAAATCGAGTCTAGTGAGTAGATTGCAGGCATGTACATCTCTCTCCGTGCGAAGATCCACTGCCGGGCAGCTTTTCCGCTGTCGCCAGGCATTCGGGCAGGGGCTCAGCTCCTCCTTCGACCGCAGCCTCATACATGTCCTGAGAAACATAAGGTTCAGTGGATGTTTTCAGGGTTTAGGGTTGAATGTTTTGGCTGACGGAGTGATGTAGAGGCCTCAATTGTCATGGATATGTTATAGAATTATCGACCAAACATACTGGGTATACATATATATATATATATATATATAGGTACTTTTCTATTTATACTTACTCTGTATTTATATTTATACACACACTCGTACATACACACACAGAGACACACATGAATACATACACACATGCATGCATACCTACCTACATACATACATACATATATGCATACATACATGTATACATACATACATACATACATACATACATACATACATACATATATCAGTACAGTACAGTACAGTACATTACATACAGACATACCTACCTGCATGCATGCATGCCATCATACTCACGCATACCGACAGAGGAAGAGAGGGATTTGAATACTTCTGACTTGGGTGGCTGTCAAAATTAGGTTCCCTGTTGTCTCATATTATCATACGGCACCTATTATTTAGGGTACCCAAGAAGGGACCCTAATTTTGACAACCACCCACTTGCGTTCAACCATTCTGGATAATACTCGCTCCTCAGGTCGACGTGCTCATGTGGTCCCAACGTCTACAGCCCCACTCACAACCCCAAAAGCCCTAATTCTACAATTAAGTTGCTTGTAGATAAGACAGGTTACGTAAATTGCCACAAGAGGGGGTAGACATGCAAGTAGTAGATATAGATAGACATACAGATACACAGATAGATAGGTAGAAAGATAGACAGATAGAACGGTAGACAGATCGACGGATCGATAGGTCGATAGGTTAGACAGATAGAACGGTAGACAGATGGACAGATCGATAGGTCGATAGATCGATAGACTACAGGTAGTTGGATAGATAGGTGTATGTAGGTATGCTTCCACGGCGAGCTAAGTAGCAAATGCGGCGCTTTCCTCTTTATTTATCGCACAGTAGTTCGTTTCACAAGATGCCGGCTGTTGCCACTACAAAAGAAGTAGAACATATTGTGCCTGCCTTTTCTAGGCAAAGTAGTTCTTTTCATGAAATCACGGCAAAGGGGTCCTGCAGCTCGGAGTGAAGCACTGGGTCATCGAGGAGGTTCGCCAGCACTGTGATCTGGAAGCAGTTCACATCCTCACAGTCGTACGGCTTAGGGTTTTAGGGTGTACTAGGATTTAAGGATTTAGGGTTATTAAGGTTTCAGGGATTAGGCTTTATTTAATGTATTTAGCGACCAGAGTTTAAAGTCTAGGTGTGGTTTCCAAGGCGCCAGGGTGGTAAGGAAAGAGTCCGATACATTAATATGAATTATACCTTCTTAGACCTACTCTGTCGGGGCTGTATGCGTCCCGATAAGCCTATAAACAGTACCTACTGGTCTTGTTCCTATACCCTACACCATAAATCCAAAACTCCACGCCCGAAATCCTAAACCCAAAACCCTAGCCCCAAAATCTTACACCCTAAACCCTAATCCCAGGGTGTCTGATAGGCTGCAGATTCCTTCGACAGAGATTAGGCTTGGGAGTCTGAGAGCGACCCCCCAAACCATAATAGAGGCACCTCAAATATTAGAATAGGGTCGCTATAAGGGTTCCGATAAAGGGTTCCATAAGGGGCTTGCTATACGGAAGAGTCGATCGTCTGTGCATAAGGAGTGTTTGGAGTTACAGTCGACCGCTCTCTTGCTACAAGGGGTTGGTTTAGAGGCTTTAATAATTAGAACAAGGTCTTGGGGATATTGTAGACTGGCGTGATTATAAGGAACCTTCCCAAAATAGTACAGGTAATTATTCCGGCCGCTGTATGAAGCCACCCTAACGAACACAGGGGTCTTCAGAATCAGCCTGTGTTTAGGAGAGATGTTCAAAGCGACATAGTGTATACTATACTGAACTTAGATCCCTAGCAAAAATTATAATTTTAGCTGTTTCTTAGGGATTATAATAACCAAAAATTAAAAACTATTTCTAAGTACCCCTAAGGGTTCAGTTCATTGAAACCGCGGTCCAGTTCACTGAAAGCACCATGTTCCTAGCCTTTTACCTGCTATTCGGGTTTGAGAAGGGGAAGCAAAGCGATACTACTCAAACCTGGGCCGGGGTTTAGGACCCCCGGACTCGGACGCAGATCACTGTGCATCCGAGCTGCGTGGGCAGAGTCGCAGCTTCTGCCGACCTCGACCACCTGGCAGGGGTTTAGGGTTTAGGGATATTTCGGGCTTAGGGCTTAGGCTTAGGGCCTTCTTTTAAAGTGCAATGGGCCCTCTAGGGTTTAGGGTTTAGGTTGCAAGGCCGTTGAGCTAGCGATGAGAACACGGCTTCGGGCATCCGCAAGGATCACTCTGCAAAATGAGACATGTGGGTTCCGGGTGCAAACTTCGTAGCGCATGTAAGTATAGGGTTTACGGTTGGAAGTTTGACTTAACTTCGAGTGTAGGGCAGCTCCGCTTTCGAGGTAACAGCTTCCTAGCTTGAGGGTTCCAAAACTCCTAAACAAGACATATACGGTACATCATATTCAAGATTCCTGTTTTGTCTCAGGTATAGTACGTTACATCATATTCCATATTCCTGCTTAGTATAAGGTATAGTACGTTACATCATATTCAAGATTCCTCGATAGTTTAGGGTATATAGTACTGAATTGAAGTGGTTTAGGGGCAGCGCCGCGCCTCCAGCATGGAAGCTCGCGCGTTTGGCATCTCTGCAGTGGCGACTCCTCACGAGCTCATGGGCTTTTAAGGGTTTTACAGGAACCCCTATAGATCCCTTGAAGGACCACTTTTTAAATAAGGGCTTTAAATGGAACCCCCTAGAGATCCCTTGAAGGACCCTCTTTTAAAGGAACACCTATACATAACTGGAGGCCTTTGGGCTTTTGGGTTTGAGGTTTCGGCCTCGAGGCTTTTGGTACTTAGGGTTTAGGTTGGAAGGGGCCCCCACCCTGTAATAGTGGTATAATAGGAATATAATAATAGGGCCCTAATATAATCCTTAAAGTCACTATTACAGGGTGGGGGCCCCTTCTAAGGTTCCAGGGTTTAGGGTTGAGGGAGGCGAATATATTGCCAAGCTGGTATCTTAAAGCTCCGGTTGGCAATGCTCATGTGCAGTTCTGGGAAACTAATTAATACACTGAGACCAAAATTGATACTAATACTCAGACTAGGACTAATGTATACTAACCAATTCAAGTAATTTGGACACAGAGATTACAAACTCCTTAAGGCCTTAAGCAAGTTTATCACCTTCACTCGTACTCCGGATCCCTGTACAGTTTAAAGTGCATCGCTTGATTATGTAAGCGTTCCTTTCAACCTAGTTGCTGAGTTCATAAGCCCCCAAAAGTGCACACTTTCAGTTTTATAGTGAGTAATATGACCCCAAAAAGTGTAAAGTCTATCCACTCAGCTACGAAGTCAACCCTACACCCCATACCCCAAACCCCAAACCCTAAACCCCTAAACGCTGAGGGTTCCTTTCAAGGTTCCTTCAATGGGTGGTGGAGTGGTGGAGTTTCTGAACAGGTGGAGAGCTCAGGGCTCAGGGCTGCGCTGGGGAAGGATGCGGTCGCAGTCTCCGGGTACTTGGAGGATCATGGGACTTAGTATGTAAGGTTATAAGTACCCTAATTGAGGTTATAAGTATATATAGTTACCCTAATTAGAACCCTAGTTACTAAGTCCCATGATCCTTTAAGTAGCCATGCCGTAAGTGTGTGCGAAAGACCCTCTCTCAAGGAAATCGGATATCGTAGAGGCCTGAACAAGTAATTACCACTATTATTCCTTGCGATTCCTTAATGCCTCTAACTGTTTTAATTTGGTCAAGGCACTTGTTTGACGGTTGCATTGTGTTCAGGTCCGGTAATGATCTTCTGTCAAACCATGCTTGGCTTCGGCGCAACACATGTCACCCCCAACTTCTACCCCTAAGCCGTTGACCAGCACGGAACCCGATCCCAAAACCCTCATTACGCCCAAAACCGAAATCCGAAACAGAGTTGTTCAAGCCTGAAAGCTAACCCCCTGTAGTCGGGTTTTCTCTAGGCCGCAACACAGCACCAAGCCCTACTACCCCCTAAGCCTCGCTTGCATTTCCACTTCAGAGTTCATCTATCCACATAGCATATACCTCGTCCATAAGCTCACTGTCAATGTATAGAACAAGCCTGCAATCTAGGGCCCTGTAGTAAACCCAAGCCTTAACCGCCTAAAACCCTGAACCCTTATTATAAACCCTGAACCCTTATAAACCCTCAATCCCCTTAAGCTCTAAGCCCTCTTCAAGCCGACCTGCGAGCTCCCTTAGCTTCTGGACGAAAGCATCCTGCAAGAGCTAAAGTCTTCTTTGACCTTAAGGTTTTAGGGCTTAGGGGTTTAGAGTTTAGGGCTTTAGGGTTGAGGGTTCCTGTGATCCTAACGGTTCTAAGTACCTATTTGGCGGGGTACTTCCCCAAACCATATCAGTAATTCCTAATATAGCCACCCTGCATTCTACCATACAGGTACTTAGGACTCTTTGGGTGTGGTCCTAAAGTCCACGTACTCATATCGTACATACAAGGTTCGGCCGTTATGTAGTCCATATTTAGGTTACTTGAGGGCTAAGTTCCGTCTGAAGAGGTCTTTTCATGTGTCACTTGGAGCTTAGGGTTGACGAAGAGGATCTGTCGAGGTTTCGAGACCTACTTGGAGGATCATGGGACTTCGTAAGTAAGGTTATAAGTACCTTAATTGGGGTCATATTGTATAGTTACCCTCATTATAACCCTAGTTACTAAGTCCCATGATCCTTCAAGTATTCTGGTATCCGAAGGGCCGGCTCAGGGTTAAGGGTTAAGCACTGAAGCAGACCGAAGTGTTGCATGACACTAAAGTCTTAAGTAACATAGTGGTCCTTGGAACCCTTTCTTGAGTCGACTTCTTAAAACGGCTCATACGACTCCTGAGGGAACACAGAAGTTAACGTCCTGCAGTCATGCTTTTTAAGGTTCTCATACATCGACATACAACTTGTTCGCCGGAAACCTAACTTCACGCCAGACCCACCTCTTGCCATCTATAACGACGACCCTAACACCGAAACCGAAAACTCTGAGAAATCCTAAAGCCCTAAACCAACTAAGTCCCACGCATGGGACTTTGGACTTGGGCATGATGCAAAGCTCTCACCCTCCAGGCCGCGTGGGCTTGCAAGAAATGACAGTACTAGAAAGTCCGGGTCAGGGATTTTGATCTAAACCCCCACACCCCGAAGCCCGACACCCTGAGCCCTTTGGGTTTATAGGTCTAGGAGGGTTCTCTTTTACGGCTCCCGGAGTGTATCTTGGGATCGGGGCCACAGCTAAGTCCTAAACACTAAGTACGAGCCCAAGTGCTTCTTATGGGTCTTAGGGCTTAGAAATGTCCTTCTCCCTCTTCTCGTGGGCTGCGGAAAGGTCCGTGAAGAGCGTCTGCCGATCGTTTGGCATCGCATTCACCTCTGCAGCTCGAGGTAGTAAAGGGGCCTTCATACTTGAAATATACTCATTGCTGTTATATTGATACACAATGAAATGCTGTAGCGACCATAATGGTTTAGTGTGACGGCTGTACAGGGACTTTAGCAAGCCGGGGTTGCAAGTCCTGTCACAAAAGTTGTAATGACTCATACCCTCAACCCGGAATCCAAGAGTCCGAGCTACCATGTCCCCTGCATGACTCTTTAGACTACTTTAGACTACTGGTTGAAAACCCGATAGCAACCCTCAAAATCCCGAAGGAAACCCAGACCCTGAACCCAAAAACCCATAAACCGTGCTGATTAAGTCTCCCTATCCTCCAGAAAAGGGGCTACAGGCTGGGTCAACGGCTTCGCAACCCAAAAGATCGAAAGAAGGGTCTGAAGTGAAACCAGCGGGTAAGGTTTGCCGCATCGTTTTTCTTGTCTCGCCGATTTTCGACCCTCAGGAAAGCCGGCGTCTTGAATTGGAGCTTGGAGTTAAAGTTTAGAGCTCGAGGTGTGTTTCTCGGGGTTAAAGGTCACGGTCGAGGATAATTACAGAGCAGAGGTTATCCGATCGACACGGAGGCACAAGCTGCACAAGCTTGTCTGTAAAGGTTGATAGAAGGCCGCAGGTCTCGAACAGAAGCAAAAACCAGCAGAGCCCTAGCCTAAACACTAAGACCCTAAGCCCCTAAACCCCCAAAAAAACCTAAAGCTTGAACCCAAACCCAAAAGCCCTGCATGCCCAAACCTGAACATCTCTGCTTCTCAGGCTGTCAGTCTCTGAGGGTTTAGGGGCCGAGACCACCAACACCCCTTGTCTGCTCAATGTCCCACATCCGGGAATCGGGGGCCTCAAAAGGTGGGATGAAGGTAGGTGGGGCATTCCCAAATAAGAGTCCTTATATAAGGGATCCTTAATCCCACCTACCTTCATCCCACCTTGTGAGGCCTCCGAGGAAAGGCCCCCCGACACCCCAATAAGACCCGAAACGTTAAGGGAGAAGCCGGCCTGCTCTGTCAGCTTCACCACCAAACCTTATCATGGAAGTCTTCAGGGCTTAGGGTGTATGATACGCATTCCGGGGTTTGGGAGCTTGGAAGTTGAGGATTTCGGTGCTTTAGCTTCAGGGCTTCGTGACGATTGGGATTTCTGGCTTGTATGTGTATTACTTCATGATGGTGCTCGCGATTTAAGGTTGAAGGGTTCGGGGGTTAAGGTGTACCTACACCCCCCCAAAGTAGGCAAAATCATGGCCCAATACCTATAAAAGGCTGGTATTCTACATACTCTGGGGCTCCAGGTAGGGGGTGGGGTTTGGCTGCTTTGTGCTTCAGTCCTGCGGCTCGCGGCTTTAAGGTTTTGGTGAGGTTGGGGCATACTTGGATGCTACACTTGCTTTCAGAAATAATGAGAAATTGCTGGAATAGTAGGGGAAGAAGGCACCACCAGGCCGCCTTGCCATCTGAACAGGGAAGCCAACGACCCAGTCCCAACACCCTACTTAAAGGACCATGGGACTTAGTAACTAGGGTTATAATTAGGGTAACTATAGTTATAACAACAGTTAAGGTACTTATAACCTTACTTACTCAGTCCCATGATCCTCCAAGTGTCGCTAGTGAAAGACAGGCTGCGATCGGCTGCTTCGGCTGAAATGCCCCATAGGTCCTCGATCGAGCTTTCTGTGGTGCCGCCGCCACCGCCGTCTGTGGTGCCTCTACGTCTCAAGTACGGAATGTCATGACACTGAGTGGGACAGAGACGAAGGTGGCTGCATGGATCCATTGTGGCCGCTACATGTACCGCCGGGCTTGCCACCCATGCGACTGCTGCTGCTGCTGCTGCAGTGATGCGGGGGACGACGAGGAGGACGACGACTCGATCGGGACGATCAAGTTGAGCATTTATACTGCTTCAGCTTTTGATGGTTTATACCACACTCTTCTTCAACACAACCTGCTGCTTATGCTGACATCGACCGTCACTGTACCGATGCGTTGTACCGTGCACCTGCTGATCTGTGTGCTCATGTTGCATTTTGGTCGTTGATCTATCTCCGTACCCTAGCCCTAGTAGTGCGTCATGCTTGCTTCTGGCGTCAACAATGCTTCTGCAGGTGTTATCACTCACGCCGCCTTGATCCTGCATCTTTGCTTTCCTTTTGTCGTCCCGATGTCACCATGTTCTTGGCATCACACCTCTCTGCCTACGTATGCGGTAGATCATGGATGCACCAAACCTGCAAGTTTAGGCCCATACAGCCTCCCAAGCTCCGATTCAGAAGCCCTGAACTATACTGAACTCACAACCCCAGCAAAAACAATAATTTTAGCTGTTTCTTAGGGATGTTAATAACCAAGAATCCGCCGAGGCCACAGGCCCAGGCGTTTTGGTGGTTACCTCAGGTACCCTCCACCTAATCCTTTTTTTTGTGCAGCCCAAATGTTTGGTGACACCCTGTTTTTGCGCTCGTTTGCCACCCCCTTGCCCGGCCTCCCCTCATTTTCTTTGATTTGCGGGCCTACCCGCCCCCTCCCAGGCCTCCTCCCCCCTCTTTTTTTCCTCCACCCCCCTCCCCCTTCCCGCCCCTCCCCCTCCCCCCCTCCCCCCCTCCCCCCCCCCTTGAAAACCATAAACCTCTAAAGGGGTAGCTCTAACAGGTACCTACAGCAATGGCTGCATGCTCATACATATACATTCCGCTGCCCATTGGCTCACAGTGGTTTTACCATATTGAGACAAGACAAGCTCTCCTTGCGTAGCAAGACAAAACAACTACTGTCCGTGTGCAGGGCGCTGCCCTTTGATCCTTAGGGAATAAACTGGTCATACACCTCCTTACAAGGAGTATCCCTTGGGGGTGTATCGGCACAGTTTTCTGGTAGCGGAGCCCGGAAAGGGCCGCCCGCCTCACAAAGTCCGCTACAGCGGTCGGCCTCGCCGAACGCTTCGCAAGAGGCGCACAATGTCGAGCTCGCATAGCGAAGCCGACGGCAGTTCCCAGTCCTCCGGGGGATATGAGAACGAAGAGACCTCCCAAGGTCCAGCTACTTATGTCGCACAGTCATATGCAACATCTGACCGCATGCTTGCATCATTAGGCATAACGCCCAAAATCGCGCCTGCCTATGATGGCACCACCTCGTGGTTTGAGTATGAACAGTTGATTGACGACTGGTGCGATATAACAACGCTGGATGATACCAAAAGAGGTCCGTCTCTCAAGACGAGGCTCTCCGGATTGGCCGCAGTACAAAAAGAATCACTCAACCGAGAAAGGCTTGCAGCCCCAGACGGAGTAGATTACTTCAAGAAGAAGATGCGTCCATTTTTCGTGAAAGGAGAACAGTACGTTTTCCTGTGGCGTTTTCTCGGCCTATTCAAGGCATGGAAGGGCAACCAAGACTTTGTGACTTGGATTGCTAAGTTTGAGATCGTGCTACAGCGCGTGAGAAACTCATGGATGGATCTCTTACCAGAGATAATTCTGGAAGATGCCCATCCTGATTTCATGCAGGCTGTGCAAGCAGATCAAACCTTCATACGCCTACAGGATGCAACCGAGAGAGACACATACGCCGCACGTTTCTTCGAAACATGGAACAAGGAACGCCTTGATAATCATCGAAGAGCGTTTCCTCTAAATGATAATCTCCTAGCTCTCCTCTTCCTAGTGCAGTCCGACCTAAATGAGATGCAACGTGAGAGGTTGGTAACAGCATTGACCAACCAAGGTTACCGAATTGAGACCTACACGTACCCTATAGTACGGCAGACCATGTTCGATCAGTTCTCAACGACCAGAACTGGTCTGCAGGATCCCAATATTCGGCACACTTCTCACAAGAAGGACCGCCATGGAAGGAGAGATCAACGCCGCAAACGCGGAGGTCGAAACTTCCTCATCCTCGATCAGGGTGAATACGACGGAGTCGATGGATTCTGGCTTCAAGACGAAGACACCCTTGAGGAAGGCTTTCTTGCCGCCGAGGATGAAGAAGCTGTCTTCTGGACAGTTGACGACCATGAAGCCTTCGTTGCAAGGAGATTCAAAAAGGGAAGAAGACCAAGAATGCGTCCCGGATCACCGGGAAGAGCAAAGGGTGGCAAGCGAAAAGGACGTGGCCGTTTTAGGTCATACCGCGGAAAAGGGAGAGCCAACCAGGCAGAACATGATCCAACTGATTCCAGCTATTTCGGTAAAGGCAAAGGAAAAGAAAAAGGAAAAGGTGGAAAAGGCAAAGGAAAAGGAAAGGACAAAGGAGATAAAGGAAGCTCCTTCAAGGGTACAAAATCAAAAGGCAAAGGTAAGGATACAGCTAAGTCTGCCTCCTTACAAGGAGACCAAACTGGATCTCCACAGGCCTATGAAAGTTCCACCGCACCGAGCTGGGATTCATGGTATGAGGACAGTTATTATACTGACTCCAGTTGGAATTATGCCGCTTATGACGATCAAACGTCTTATACATACTATGCATCACAAGCCTCACGAAGAAAGACACGGAAAAAGAAGAGAAGAAATCAAGCAGGATCATCAGGTAGAGGCACAGATCCGAGCGCGCACCAAGAACCCGTGTACAACTCATCAGTGAGTTACGCGCCCCAGGTTTTTGAACCATCTGAGGGGCAAGGTGTGGAGACTGCAACAGCAGTGTTTCCGTTGCAGCACACCGTCCTATCTGCTCTCACCGAGCGGATCAATCTTGATAAGAGCCCTACCTTTGTCATTCTTGACTCTGGTTGTACTAGGGCTATGGGTTCCCGCTATGCGGTGAACAGGCTTATCAAGGCCGTGAAGCAACATGCCCCAGGCATGATTGATTTCACTTTTTCACCTTCGAACACGAAGTTCTCTTTTGCAGATAGTGAAACAGCTCTTATCAAGGAGCGTGTAACACTATGGTTTAACACAACTCCAAGAAGAGATACAACCATAGAAGTTTTGGATCAGGGAAGAGTACCCATCTTGTTCTCCATTGAACAGATGAGAAACCTAAGAATGACTCTCGAGTGTAGTCCCACAGCTGACCTAGCAACGTGTGAAGCTTTCGGTTTGTATAAAACCCCTCTTCCGATTAGTACCAATAACCATTTGGTATTGGACCTTCTAGGCTTTACTTCCACCAGGAAGTACCCTCCTAAGTCAGGTACATCGTTCCGTGCGACGGAGACTGCTCTAGGAGCCAATAAGCCTTATGTTAGGATACCGGAAGGTCGCTGTCCAGCCTGTGCCGGACAGAAAAAGGCTCACACGTACCTCAAGGGTTGTGACAGAGCACCTGAGGGAGCAGCTGATCCACCACCGAAGAGGATTTCAGGGAAAAGGAAGCCTCTTCCATCTGATCCGGCAGAATCATCTGCCAAAAGACTTGATCCACCAGAAACATCTGGAGATGTTCCTGAGCCTTCCGGACCATCGGAACCATCATCAGGCTCTAGGGACAAACCTGCAGAACCCTCTGCACCGCATGAACCTCCAGAAGAAGAAAGACTTGAGGTTCCATCTGCGAAGACAAAGACTCCAAAGGGTCTTAAAAACCTTCTGAAGAAAACCCGCAAATATGCGGATAAACCTCCTGTTGAAGAGAAGTCTACAGTCCCAGGAGCTGATGACGGGACGGAGGTAAGACCACTTGAGTCAAGAGAATACCCTGCTCCTGGCACAGACTCACCAACAGGTGAAGAGATTGTCGCAGAACCTTCGCCATCTCTTCCCATTGCTCTTCGCAGGATTCATGAGAAGCTTAAGGACCCTGTAGAACTCTACAAGCTTCACCTTAAGCACCGTCATATGAGTACGGATCAGTTTAAGCGACGCACAAAAGCCTTACAGATCCCAAAGGAGATCTACGAGCTATATGACCAACTGGTCAAAAAGTGTTCAGCCTGCCAGGAACATGTGAGAGCTCCTTCAAGAGCGAAGATTTCTGGTCTAAGATCAGAGACTTTCGGTGATCTCACCTTCGTAGATCACGGTGAGCTTCCAATTCCCGGCAAGGATAGTCGCTTAGTATTTCTTATTCTCTATGATGGAGCAACAAACTTGTTGACTGCCGAAGTAGTCCAGGATAAAGAAGAACATACTACAATGTCTATTATGAATGACTACTTTGAAAAATTTCAGATCAACCCAAAGGTTGTAGTTGGAGATCAAGCATTCATGACTCCAAAAATGGAGGCTTATTACAATCGGCAGAATATCAAGCCTGTGGCAACAGGACCTGGAACACCATGGCCCAACAGGGCCGAAGCTGCTGTAAGATTGCTGAAGCATCAGATTAAGCTCATACTTCAGATCCTGAAGGATGGTGACCCGCAGTATAACGGAATCACCATGAAGTATGGCAACCTCGTTCGCCAAGCATGTTTGGCAAGAAACTCTTCGATTACCTACGGAGGAGTTACTCCTTTGGAAATGGCCTTCGGAAGGCGTCCTCGAGATGTTATCACACCAGAGAACGCCGATCCCAATCAGTTGACAGGTAATCCAACTGATACGGAAGTCACTGCGAGAGCCATTAAGGAGCTTGCCAACAGGGCTTACCAAGAGGCACGCCAATCTGATGATCTGCGTAGAGATCTTGCAGCCAGACTGTCAATGACCCAAGGACCTTTCTCTTTGGGAGATAAGGTTTTCTACTGGTCAGAAGATAAGTCTAAGATTGGATCCACTGGGTCCAAACATGGATCTTGGTTAAAAGGTAAGGTGATC